GTGGTGGTTAATGACCGACACTTGCCCCTGTATCCATCCACCGACGCAGAGACAGACTATTATTCCAACACATTCATATTTCGGCCACCAGGGCATGGTGACATCCAAGGTGTGAGTCTTCGTAGCTGCCAGCTCTTGGATTGGCGCCAAATTAATCTTCCGTGGACTTCCTTGGCTATCCCAACAAAGGTCATATGAACCTGCTGCGGCGGTGTGGCTGCGTCCGCAACAATGCCGGATCGACCTCGGTGTCCCAACACACGTCAAACACTGATTATTCAGTCAGATGCCTGCAACATCCTCAAAGCACTGGAAGTACCTTGGCCTTCATATTGTGGTTCGGCAATGATGTTGCAGTGGTTGTGTTCACCGTCCACACTAGATCAGCCTCAGTATTCCAGCACATGTCAAATACTTATATTTTTAACCGTTAGAAATGGTCAATAGAGCAGGAAACACACCTTCGCTGCCAAAATGTTTCTTGGGAAGTCCTTCAGGATGTGGCTGGCTGGATGGCATACTTGAGACGTTGGATTTCATGACTTGAGGCAGGCCAGATGTAGTTGTAATGTTAGGTCGAATGTGAATGTTGTGGTTACCCACAGGGATCCACACGTTTTGAGTGGCTGGAATCGGACACAACTTCGGTGGCACCCACTGTTCCCAAGTGACGAAAAAGTTCCAGTCGGCTTTGATACACTCGTCCTGTATCCTGTGAGCTTTGTCAGTGGCATTCTCGTGGGAATACATTGACAACTTTGGAGGGCTTGAACTGTAAGGTGAATAAACAATGCAGAAGTCGACGCCCGCTACCACACTTCAGCCATTTCCGTGTCTCGGCCGATCCCGGCGGTATTACAATGTGGCGGTTTGCGTGGCATCAACTTCTGTCAAGTTCCTTCAACATCCACACAGAGTTTTGTAGGTCGATACTCATCACATCCTTTTCTCCTTTTGTTGCATCGGTACCTGTGCCATCGTCGCCCTTATATTTCAATTCTCTACCATGCCATCACAACAAGAATCCGACCATGCTTTGGCGCTCGCCGATATATCGGTGCGCGATTTGGTCAGCCTAATCGGACGTGGGGAAGCAGATGGCCGGACAGTCGTTGATCAGGCTCATGAGATTGCGAGGCAGGTGGTGCGTGTTTTGCTTTACTATAGTTATTATGTACCTGCTCACCATGAACAGTCTGAGCCCTCCAACAGCACGGCAGGTTGTCCTCGGTCATCTCGCCATTTCTTCTTTCTGCAGCCGCCAGGTCCGTGCGACCATCAATCAAGGTCTCGTTCCTCAATGGAATGTGTTCGGGTTGATGGCGTATGGAGTCCCATCCCTTCTTCCCAAAGACTGTTGGATATGGTGAGTCGGCCCTGTTTGGATTCACATTGGTAACTTAATATTCTTATAGTACAACCAGCACCAGCACCAGCACCAGCACCAGAACCAGCACCGGCACCAGCACTCTCCCCAGTCCTACCCCCAGCTCCCAAACGGATGTCAGTTCGCCGATGATGCACTCCCTGTGCCGGTCGTGCTCACAATCTGACCGTGACTGGCACCATGACCGACAAGGGCAAACGGTCTGACCGCGGCACTCGTAGATCCCGTGACGACAGCCCAAATGCCGAGCCAGGCAGAAAGAAACAAAAGGTGTTGAAGTGTTTGTCGAAGGCCATCATCTCCGACACCGAGGATGAGGACAGGCAGCCAACAGGGACCATTGTAGTGAAACAGGTATTCCTCTCCATTTCCAACTGACTGCTTACATCACCTTAGCGGCCCAAGATCATCGAATCTTCAGGTGCAGCGCGCCAAAATCAAAGGTAAGCATGGTGATAATCTCGGTGCTGATCTCATTGCTGACTCCTTTGCAGGGAATGACTAAAAATGTCAAGCAGGTGAGATTTACCGTCCTCTCTGTCCTCCCACCTCACCGATCTTCAGCCGGAAGCTGAAGCCAACATCGGCCGAGTCCAGCCAAAGGGCAAAGGCAAGGAGAAGGCTGTGAATATCGCCGAGCCTGTGAGAGGTCATGGGCTACTGAAGGCCGATGCTGAGGAGGTGAGTTGGGAAAGTCCATGCCAGTTGCAGAGTACTAACTATTTTTAGTACGCTCCACCTTGCAAGAGATGTATAGGGGAGCCTTGTTTTGTTGTGGTCGGCAGGAAGGGCCAAGCCATCAAGTCCTGCCAAGTGCCACTTCATGAAGGTGCGGTGCAACCGACCGGTGTCGGTCGATACCTGGCGTCCCTCAACAACGCAGGCACCAAAGTCACACCCTCGGTCAAAGGCACGGCGTCCAAGTTGAAGGCTAAATCCCGGACCACTAGAGCGACCTCTCGTGCAGTCCACCAACTCCTATCGTGGAATCTGAGGATACTGCGGATACCGGTAAGTGATTTTGTGCTTCGCGATAACATGCTTTAACCCTGGTCTTTAGAAGCGTCTGCTACCAGTCAAGATGATGTCGAGATGGACCATGATACTGACGCCGAGCGGGACACCGACATCGCCGCCGATATGTCGGATGAGCCCGCTGATCAAATCATGGTTGACCAGCCCGGAGCCATAGCTTCTGCAGCCGACTTCCCTGCCGACCATTGGCTGGAGGCCACTGATGACACGCCCATTCCGATTCCCCCACCAACTCCTCTGGTTGATCCCCTTCCCTTCCTTCAAACACCCACCATCCTCGAATGTGTGCTCACCTTGACCACTCAGGTGACTGACATGCAAATGGCTGACAATAATGCCCTCGCCAGGGTAAATGCGATGGAACAGGAGTTTGACACCCACATTTCCTTGATGCGTGCCGAGCTGTCCTCCGTGCAGCTGATGTCGGTGCCACCGTGACATTGGTGAATGGACTTGTCTGCCTGGTTGAGAAACTTCGGCAGGAGCGGGTCATTGCCAATCCATCATTCCCGCCACCAATGCCTCAGCCATGGCAACGAGTCCTCCCACCACCAATTTGGTATGAGGTACATGAACAGCGTGTTGTCGGCCCTTCGGCTGCTCCCACCTCTCTTCTGCTGGAGTCAGTTCAAACCTCAGCCTCCCGCCCTCCTGTCATCCCGACACGCAGGGTGACACTTTCACATCCGAATAAGTGTGCCGGTGGATTATATAGTTGTTCCATAGATCATATGTCGGTCGGCTCATCATTCCTGTAAATCACTTGGTTTCTGTACTCATTGTTTTGGCATTGATTCAATTGTAAATTGACTCCGGTGACATTGAAATGTTGGCACTGTTTGATCTTGATCGGGTTTGCAGTTGGCGCGGCACAGTATACTTTGGTTTGTTCAGATGTAACTCGGTCATACTTGTGACTGACTGGCCTGTCGGCAGAATTCATCTTGGTCGTTTTATTGAGTTGGTTTGACCTATTGATTCTGCATGTGACCGATCCCAGGTTCCATATGATTTGCATATCATATCAGCAAAACCAGTGCATATGTCTCGGCCAATTGTTTTTTCGACCGCATTAAGTCCAACTTGGTGGCCCTTGTTACGCTGCAAGGCGGCTGTTTACTCCGTTCCTGGCATTCTACTTATACATTATGTTTGACCTAGCATATTCTGACTGGGTGTCATGGCAAGTATACTGATGCCGATGGTCTATGAACAACTTATTGACCGATCAATCCATTAGTAATATTTGACCGAGGTGGTCCTGGCGGTGTATTGTGGAAGCTGTATGTAAACACGGACCAATTGACCGACCTGTGTCCATGATCTTCTGTATACTTAGAATCTCGGCCCATCTGTATATATCAGCACCACCGCCCACTCGGCCCGCTTGTTCATATCAGACACATACTTCATACACTACCTACCAAAAGTCAATAGAAAAGTCTACATTTATCTACTATACTACATACCATGGGCCCACTGTTTGTATTAGATAAACACTTGACAATCGGCCCACCTGTATTAACATGGCAATACATTGATGGGCCCACATGGGATGGCCCGTGTAGAACAGGGATATTTCAACCTCGGCTGTACGTATTAGTACGAGGGTAAGTGACTGCAGTAGTGGTCCAGCTGTGGGATGCAGCAACGGGGCTGCCATTGGGTGAGCCCTTCCGAGGGCACACTTTTGGGTTGAGTCAGTCTCGTTCTCGCCCGATGGCACTCGCATCGTGTCTGGTTCTTGGGATTTCACTGTCCAGCTGTGGGATGCAGTCACAGAGCAGCAATTCCAGGAGCATCCTGAGATCGATTCCTCTACATTCTCTTTGGATAGATGTTCCACCATACCTTGCAAACAGGAGACTAGCATGTCAATCCATACTCGCAACATCCCACCATTTGCTTCACATCAAGGTTGAAACATGTACTGACTGCAAACCCTGCTGAGTTACTTGAAGGCCTCTCTCCTCTTAGTTCTAACCCCTGTCATGCCAAGAGATGGATGGATGAAAGGAGCCAGGCTATACTGTTAAAATTAAGCATAATACTCCTGACTAGAAACGGTATGGTTTTGTAAGTTTGTTGTAAACTATCAAATCCCTACAATTAAGCTTAACGGCTTCTGATTCCTTTGGTGATTCTCAGCCTTCCAAGAATAGTACCATCAGAAAAATCACCAAATTAGGATATTTCAATAATCTCACTATTCCCACATACCTCCCTAGGCTCTACTGCTGCACCAGAGCTTTCCCCTTGCTCACTCATGTATATAAGTAGTAGAATGGCATGTACATACATAAAATGATACAATAGACCGCTTTTTTATTGTCTGAGAGCCTTGTACAGCAGTCTACAGTGCTGACTACAATATGTGCATCCCAGGACTAAAACATATTCGCATTTTTTGCCCCTTTAGCAGGGAAGCAATTCTGGCTGTATATATCATATATTAGAGTGTTAATGAATATATTACACCGCTTGTTTGAGCCTCTGTAGTGTCCTACATCAGTAGATATGTTAAATTCATGAATACCTCTCAAAAACATAAACCAGTTCGCATTTTTTAGTGTTTAGGTATATAGACTGGTGAATATTATTTATAACATCTCTTTACTAGTATATACATTATATCAAGAGTATAGGCCAGTAGGATCAGTCCCTAGAGGTGATATGTATTGTCATCTTCCTGGTGGTTCACTCCCTGAGAAAGTTTTTCCTGCAGCTCCGGCCCTCTAGGATGGTAGGTAGTCTTTTACTATGAACATATGGAATATATTTATACATAGGTATACCAGAACAATACCAGGATCCTTGTCTACAATCCAAAGTCACTTTCCTGCCTACAATATACCATATTTTCGCATTTTTGAGGTTTTTCACTACATTCTCACTACATAGACTATACCAGCTGTTCATATATCACTTATAGTACATATATAAGCCCTCCCAAGGCCAGGATCAGGTAGAAATATGTCAGAGTAATGATATCAATGATATAGGGGCAAACCCCACAATCATGCAAATGTTATATTTCAACCCTGTCTAGGGCGAAGATTTCATTAAAAATGTATAGAATACATTGTAAACTACTTATATATACTATACTAATATATGTTGTGAAGGTAAAGGTGATGTGGAAGTGTTGTGGTCTCAATTTGTTGCATTATTATGGTCAGACCACCCTTGCATAGACTGTTGGTGCATAGTACTTTTTCGATGTTTGGACTTTTTGACTTTCCCACGACCTATTTCTTATCTATTGGATTCCCCTGCTGTCAATTATTCATGGATCCTTCTGGTAGTCGAGGACTGTATTACTTGGTATATATAGTGTACTCCAAGACCGTCTGATTATAATATTTTACTATATTCATGTCTGGGAATTCTTATCAATGAGAATAGGAGATATGTGCTTGATATCATTACTCTGACATATTTCTACCTGATCCTGGCCTTTGGAGGGCTTTATATATGTACTATAAGTGATATATGAACAGCTGGTATAGTCTATGTAGTGAGAATGTAGTGAAAAACCTCAAAAATGCGAAAATATGGTACATTGTAGGCAGAAAGTGACTTTGGATTGTAGACAAGGATCCTGGTATTGTTCTGGTATACCTATGTAATAAATATATTCCATATGTTCATAGTAAAAGACTACCTACCATCCTAGAGGGCCGGAGCTGCAGGAAAAACTTTCTCAGGGAGTGAACCACCAGGAAGATGACAATACATATCACCCTAGGGACTGATCCTACTGACCTATACTCTTGATATAATGTATATACTAGTAAAGAGATGTTAGAAATAATATTCACCAGTCTATATACCTAAACACTCAAAAATGCGAACTGGTTTATGTTTTTTGAGAGGTATTCATGAATTTAACATATCTACTGATGTAGGACACTACAGAGGCTCAAACAAGCGGTGTAATATATTCATTAACACTCTAATATATGATATATACAGCCAGAATTGCTTCCCTGCTAAAGGGGCAAAAAAGCGAATATGTTTTAGTCCTGGGATGCACACATTGTAGTCAGCACTGTAGACTGCTGTACAGGCTCTCAGACAATAAAAAAAGCGGTCTATTGTATCATTTTATGTATGTACATGCCATTCTACTACTTATATACATGAGTGAGCAAGGGGAAAGCTCTGGTGCAGCAGTAGAGCCAGGGAGGTATGTGGGAATAGTGAGATTATTGAAATATCCTAATTTGGTGATTTTTCCGATGGTAGTGCTATTCTTGGAAGCCTGAGAATCACCAAAGGAATCAGAAGCCGTTAAGCTTAATTGTAGGGGATTGATAGTTTACAAACAAACTTACAAAACCATACCGTTTCTAGTCAGTGAGTATTATGCTTAATTTTAACAGTATAGCCTGTCTTCGTAGGTTTCGCATGCTTATCTTTAATCCGTTCTGAGACTGATGTTTGATCAGTCTGGTCTTTTCTCCACTGTTAGCTCGTCTTTCATTGTCGCCATGGAGTCCAGTCTTAGTCCTGACCCCAGCGACACCACGAATGCCCCTCTCGCGCAACTCGTGCAGATTGAACTCGGCAACCTCATCGCTGCGGGCTCCACGCCTGTAGACCCAGCATCTACGTGGTCGCCATCTGCGTCGACTGTGAGGATCCAAATGATCGCATACGCAAGCTTGTCCATGAGCTTGTTAGCAGCATTCGGGGCTGTCCTAGGCAGGCAATGGCTCGGGTACTACAAGTTCTACAGATATGGTCGCGGCTCGCTTGAGAGCCGAGGAAAGCGCAGACAAGAGATGTTTGACGCCCTCATCACATGGTATTTCGATGCTGTCGTACAGTCCTTTCCCGTCTTACTTCAGATCTCCGTTCTTCTCTTTGAGATCGCCCTCGGTGCCCACATGTGGTATCAGCGGCCCAGCATCGCTTGGGTGATTATTGCCACCACGGTCTCTGGATTTCTGTTCTATTTTCTGACAGTGATGGCACGTTTGATATCTCCTTCTTGTCCATTCCAGACGCCGATGTCGACGATCTTATGTATGTTAGGCGTTGACGGTAAGATCATTTGTGAATTCTCGTGGTCTTGTATGAATCAACATCTCAGGGGTTCTACGCCCAGTCTTCAAACCAGTCTTCAGTTATCTCCAGCGGCTTAAGAGGTCAGCGCATGGTGAGCCATATTTTCTTACGTGTTCTTCTATTTTGACCGTTTCTGATCAGGCATATTGCTAGGAATACTTGGTACCCTCAAGTCAAGCTGGACCCGATTTTATGAAGCGCTTGCAGGTGACGCTCTCATATTATATTACACAGGATACCCATCGCTCATCTCACTCTCCAGGCCCTGTGCGCGCTGCTGGCACATTCGCACGACGGTCTCTTCAGCTATTATCCGCCGTGCTTCGCAAAGGGTTGCGTTCTTTGGTTCCGCGCCCTTCGACAAAGGTTGTGGACTCAGAGGCACAACCACTCAACCAGGATCTGGATGTTTTGGAGGAGGAGGAATCTATCCTTACCCTCGACCTCCGGGACACGTCCACCAGCGATCTCGAAGCACCTAGTATCAAGTGGCTGCTTGAGACATCCACAGATCCTGAAGTAGTTCTCGCTACCGCCAAACTTGTTCCGCAGGTCGCATGGCCCCTGGATCTTGACGTTTCAGACACGCTGCATCAGCTATCTGACATTTTTACGAGCTGCGTCGATGTTCAGGGGTGCATCGTACCATCATTGAAGGAGAAGGCCTTGACATGTACAACGGCTCTAACTCATCTATACTATGGACATGTTCTTCAGGCACATCCTCGCCGTGGTAATTTTATTACCCGTGAAAGAGAAGACGCTGACGTGTTTTGGGAGATTTTACGTGGAGGCATCTATGCAACAGACCGCGCGGTACTTCACATGACTATGAATCTTTGTAGTCCAGATAGTTATCCGTGCGCTCCTGATTTTTCAGAGGCTTTCCCTGACTCCGTCCTTGAGCGGCTGTCGCATCTTCTTCCTTATCACTTTGTCACTGGACGAACGAATACAGACATAGAAGACCTCGCGATAACGGTGATATCAAAATTGCTATTCTCTCCATCCCCTCCGTCGACTCAAATCATAGCCAATTGCACTCTCCTTACTTGCGTCATGGTCGGGACTCAGGTTGACAAAAAAGACATAATTCGGATTGATAAAAGGTGCCATCGACTCATTTGGTGTTTTTTTTGCCATGATTAACAAGGAGATCGTGTAGTGTTTTTCTGCCTCAACTCAGTGACTTGCTTTTGGTGCAGTTCCAAAAGGCTCTCTGGGCATGGGATGAAGGCGAAGATAGCACAGGAGTCGCACGTCGGGCATGGAACCTCCTCGAAGTTATCTGTCGTATCCTTGAGCTTGCTGGATATCACTATCCTTCACACCACATCATGCGGAACCTGAAAGTGTGCAGGAAGATTTATTCACGAGCGAGGTCATCCGAACAAAACGATGCCTCTGTTTCGTTGGCAGCTCTGCGAAACGTACTGCACTTCACGTTCGCTGCTGCTAACATATCTCGTGATTCTGCTGAGTTGTGGTATGCCAGCCCATTTTGGGCAGGCGACTCCCACCCACCAGAAGACTTCGACTGGATGGTGGACTACCTCAACGACATCTATTCCGACGAACACGAAGCGGCATACGACATCCTTTTGTTACTAGGTAGCATAAGAGGGAGCTACAACCCTGCTAAACATCATATGTTCATCGAAAGCCTCATCGCCTGCATGGACAGTAACATACCTTTCCATTTACGCCATGCCGCTCTTCGCGCTGCTCACAGTGCCCGAGAAGAAATCGCCTCGATCGATGCCATTGATGATGCGAGGCTACGAGCAATAGTTTTGACCAATCTCTCCCCCGCTATTATGTCAGTGGTTTGTCTGCACCCAAGTCCAACACCCGCCAATGATGGTCCCGACCGCTTTTTCGATTATCACCGCGACTTGTGCTATCTGGAAATAATCTTTGCCCTCGCGAGGAATCCCATCTGGCACCCTCGTTTATCCGAGGATCGCCATATCGATCGGTGCATTAGCATGATTCCAAAGTGCTGCAATTCCGAAGACTACAGTCAGCATGCCTTTTGCATAGCTGGTATCCTCCTTCGAATCGCACCTGGACAGACATCGCATAAATCGCTTGATTCTGTTACAGAGCAGCAGTGGTGGGACGTGATGAGATGCGCGTGGTATTATCTTCCCTATATCATTCGCGAAACACGCGATTCCGAGCTCCTTGTCTTCGTGGAACGCACAAAGAAGTATATGCAGATCGCTTCGAAATCTAGTCTCGAGATTCAGAATCTCATCAAAAATGTGGATGATGTTCTTGAAAGTATGGAGCCGGAGACACCACCGGAGGTGGGGCTGAATATGCAGGGTTTAGAGCAGGCAGAGGGGTTCACAATTGCTGTGAAGGACTTGAGGACTGTAGCCAGCAACATGCTGGATAGCGTCGTTCAACCATTAGTCCCCTAGTTATGACGTATATCATGCCAGAATCCTGGAATTAGAAAAAGTCGCGGGACAGTGTAGAGTAGAAAGTGTCAAAACCTCAACGAAATCCACGAAATCAGACACTGTCACTGGTGAGGTTCTGCGCTCTTCCTTACCAGTCGCATCCTTTCATCGATATGCACGGTAAGACAAAGACGGGCCAATACATGCTCACTTTATTGAAAATCATTCGTCAATCGCCCTTCTTTGGCAGAGGTGTAAGGAATAGAGCTTTCGGAAATCAACGAATTTCTCTTTCCTGAGAGGTCTGGACGATGGATGGGGCTTCTACATCTGAGACGTAGATGGTGCTATCAAAGGACATCATGAACTTGCCTTCATGGAGCGCTGCTGGCTGTTCAGACGAAGCTACGACTCGGATGCGTAGTAAGCCTAATCAGCACATACCCCCAAAGGTTGTCATGTATGATGTCAGGAACACACTCCCGTCCTCTCCTTGCTGCCCCAACCGCAACGTGTAACCAGCTGGCATATAAGAATCCCGTAAAGTGCACGCGGGTGGACGTCGCTCCAAGGTCAATATAGGATTAGATGTTATGGACGTAACTGAATTTGCTCATACTTAGGGCGTGACATGGGTGGACCCGGGTGGCACCCGTACCCAATCCGCGGGTAGATGGAACTTCAGAGGCCTACCCGCACCCGTACGGGTAAGAGTATCACGGGTGCGGGTGGATCCATGGGTGGACCTGCAGGTGGTATGGGTCACCCGCGGGTGAACTAGTATATGTTATGTAGAACTGTACTGTAGTACATATGAGAACATATGTATGAAATATATGTAAAAAATCAATCAGAGTCAACATCAATTGTGTCGCGGCGTGAGGGATCCTCTTTTCCCTTCCCTTCTCCCTTCTCCTTTCCCATTTTCTTTCGCATGATTTTTGTAGCGATGCTGAGATCGGGCATAAGGGGTGTATTGAACCAAGATCCAACGGCAACCTGTGCCTTGAAAGAGCTTTACCCTTTCGATATAGAGAGGATCCGCTACTGAGTTGAATGGGCATTTATTGACCGCGCAACGGCGTGTATTTGTTGCTGGCGAGTTAGGTGCCAAAGATGCGCTCGAAGCTGAGTTGAAACTGCTCCTCGACATGGAGGATTGAGGTTTAATTAACTGATGACGAGAGACTCGGAGAGAGGGACCAGGCCACCAGGGCAGCACACATCGAATTTAAACATCTCGAATAGATGTCGGTTGGCGCGCGTCATGTTGACAGGCTCTGACTCGGATAAGGACTAAAAATTAAAATCCGTCTGAAAATAGTTTATGGTCATACAGCACTGCTTAGTACCTGTTCAGAACCTTCATACCACGGTTATAGTACCTCAGCGAGCTTGATTTTGACATCGGATAAGTGCAAGTAGGGAGGGTACAATATTCATCTGAAACTAATTTGTCACTTGGCACCGGTTCATACCTCTCATTGGGGTACTAGACCACCCGTGGGTACCCGTGGATACCCAACTTTAGCAAGCCCTACGACCCGTACCCGTGCGGGTGAGCCACCCGTACCACCCACCACCCATATCACCCGACCCACGTTCCATCCGTGGGTGGCACCCGGGTGGGTACCCGGGTAACCCTCACCCATGTCACGCCCTACTCATACTACGTAGTACGCGTGCCACTGTGGTCTCACTTGCATAAACAACTGCCCTGTATAGACGCAGGAAGATCATATGCCACTCAATCCATTCCACGACCACATTGTTGACTGTGACTCATCACTATCATTTCACAGTGCTAATAACCTTTATATTTCACCATATGCATGGACCATTCAATTGAGCACCGATTTTCATGAAGAACCAAAACTCGTAGGGAGTTGTCGGCAATCCCCGAGGTTGCAGCTTGAGCTTGAACGTTTGAACGTTCGAACCGACATGCATGAATTTCAACTTCGAAGGTCACTGTCCTCAAGAACTCCAGGGAATGGACCCTTTGTACATTGTTAATTCTACCCAGAGTACGATACGCTTATCTCGGGCTCAGACAAAGAAACACTCGGACTGCGCAAACGTAATTTGGTAAAGTGCTCTACAATGTTGTCATTATTATTTACTAAGTACCACACTGCTCGGAACTTCGGTCTGTGGATGGTTCGATTTGCTTGTACACACTAGGACTCAAGTGTCGGAGTTGTATGATATGGGCTTCACCGTGACGAGAAGTTGAAGAAGCTAAGTCACGACAATCTCGAGGCCTAGGAATGTCAGTTGCCTTTCAACTTGGTTCCCCATTCCTGTCATCTTCTAACTTTTTTTAACTATATCCTCACCACGAATCGTACGATCGCCACAGACACCGCCTCTGCTATTTTGCCTCAAAGCTGCATGTAGTTGCAGGGGCTCTGACGCTCATTCTCTGCCTCGTTGAAGTAATCCCTGTGATTCGTATTTGCTTCTGACGCTCACCAAGTCCTTCTAACAGGTGACTAAGAATTAATTTTTTGAATCTTACCATCAACACGAGTTTGCCTCGAGTTCATTTGTCGGATGCGGCTTAGCGGGAATCCGTAGGCGAATGTCTATCGTTGAGTCAGTATCCAATCGATGAGACGTCTGGAGTATGTGTGCAAGGAACGTGGTCAAAGTTCGTAGGGTTTTAAAAGAAGCACGGTCAAACGCCACGGTGCCCCAGTATCATCCTTAACATCCCTTCCAAATCGCGATGAACCCAGATGCAAGGTACGTAGAATCTAGACAAGATCCTTGCGCCATTTTTTTATATCTAACAATGATAAGTAGAAACAAGCATACAAACGTCGTACTCTTTGGGCAGGGAGGAGCAGGAAAAAGCTCACTTGTCAATCTCATAGCGGGAGAGAATGTAGCAAAAACATCCAATGACCTGACACGCTGTACGCTGAAGTGGGAAGAGCATTCCGTCAATTTTGGTGGCGACTCTTATAAGATATTCGACACTGTTGGACTCGAGGAACCACAGCTGGGAATCCCACAGTATCTTGATGCTGTCGAGAATGCCTATGGTCTCATCCACGAATTGGAGGGACAAGGCGGCATTGATCTACTTATGTTCTGCATGCGCGCAGGCCGACTCACCGCTACACTTCAAAACAATTACCGGCTCTTTAACGAATTCCTTTGTGAAAAGAAGGTCCCCATCGTTATAGTGATCACATATCTCGAAAACGAAGTCGGGGAAATGGATGACTGGTGGAAGAGAAACAAAGATACTTTCCGTCACCAGGAGTTCTATGTCAATGGACATGCGTGCATCACCGCCATTCAAGGCAAATGTCCGGAACGGCATGAGCAATCGCGCACCACGCTCCGCAAACTTGTCAAGGAGTGCACTACTGGCGGGCAGAAGCGAGCATGGAAAGGAGGAGACAACCTGTTCGTGTCGTTGATGCGACAGCTGAGGGGGCTAGTTTCAGGGAAATCGCGTTCGAAGAAGGATAATATTGCCCCTCGCCTTACCAAGAGGTGCGGTTTGACTCCGGAGGTCGCAAAGCAGTTGGCCGATAGGATTAAGAAAGACGTGGGAGCTACTTGACTTCCGGTGTTCGATAGCTTGTCCTCATTCCGGTTGTAGACTTACCTTGCCAATACGTTATAACATACACTTGTAATGATTTCACTCTTTGAAATTCTCCTCAATTACAACACATGCATGTCCAATTCGAAAAACAAGCACCTCACACACCACAGTTTCGCGTGATTCAGAATGTCTTGGAGACATTCTTGCTGACCGTTAATCGAGCTCTGAGCGTAGTCCGACTCCTGTCGTAGTTAGGCGGGCCTTGATAACAGGAAGACAGTCGTGAACAGGTATCGACTCGGAGTGGGAGTGGAAAGTCCACTGACCTGGCGTACTGTCCCTACATACCAGTCATGGACAGCCACATCTTAGTTTTTCCAGAACACTGAGATGTAAGCCAGGGCCGCAATAGGTTAACTATGTCGCCACTCGGCTCCTCCGTGGTTACGACTCGGAGCTGGGCTGGCTCCGAGCCTAAATTCTGCCGGCAGATGGCAGAATCACGTGTGACGGTTTTTGGGTACTACTAATTTCTACATGGATGCAAGAACACTCACTCGACAGCAACATGGAATCAATATTGCAAGTCCCATCTTCGTTGGCATTATGATCTGTGACCATGATCTGTAGTGCTACAGGCGCTAATCCCTCATCAACGCGCTGCGGTTTCAAGATCGATTTAAAAGTCTACAAACGGGATGAGCACAGGCTATCGAATACGAAGTCAAGTAGCTCCTTCTACCGCGCCTTTCTTAATCCTATCAACCAACTGCTTTGCGACGTCCGGAGACAAACCGCACCTCTTGGTGAGGTAAAGGACAATATCCTTCGAACGCGAATTCTCTGAAGGTAGCTTCTTCAGCTTTTGCCTCGATGACACTAACGAGTCGTCTCCTCCTCTGCATTCTCGCTTCTTCCGACCGTCAGCAGTGAACTCCTTGACAAGTTTGCGTATCGTGGTGCGCGATTGTTCATACCGTTCATACCGTTTTGGACAATCACTTCGAAGAGCGGTGATGCACGCATGTCCATCGACATCGAACTCGTGGTGACGGAGAGTTTTCTTGTTTCTCTTCCACCAGGCATCCATTTCCCCGTCTTCGTTTTCGAGGTATGTGATCACCATAACAATGGGGACATTCTTTCCACAAAGGAATTCGTTAAAGAGCCGGTAATTGCTTCGGAGCGTAGTAGTGAGTCGGCATGCGCGCACGCAGAAGATGAGTAGATCAATGCCACCTTGTCTCTTCAATTTCTGGATGAGGCTATGGGTGTCCTCGACAGCATTGAGGTACTGTAGGGTTTGCGATTGTGATTCCTGAAGTCCAACAGTATCAAATATATTATAAGAGCCACCATCGAATTTGATGAGATGTTCTTGCCACTTCGTCGTGCAGCGTTCCAGGTCACTGGACGTCTTTGCTACGTCCTCTCCCGCCATGAGATTGACGAGTAAGCTTTTGCCTGCCCCTGTCTGCCCAAAGATGACAACATTTGTGTTGCTGCTGATCAATGTTAGGGAAATGCGATACAAAGAGTACAGAGAATACGCACGTCGCAGGCTTTGTAGAATGGATGGGGTGAATAGTGCCTGGTGACAATCCAGTGTGAACCCCTGCGTCACTCGATGGGCGACACTGCTCGATGAGTTTGCAGACAGCGTCGTATGAATGGGTGCGGCGCTGCACACACATAGGTCCTGTCATTGTCGCCGTGGTGATACATGCGTGGCCAGCGAAGGTCATACCGTGGTGTGAGATGGTTGGCTCATTAACCCTCCACCAGTCTTCCATCTCTGGTTGATAGGATTCCAAACATGTGACGACAAGGACAATTGGAACTTTTCTCTTTACTTGGGAGCGGATTAACTCGTAATTCCGGCGGAGCGTCCGAATCTCTCTCTCACCCCGTACACAGTACATGATGAGATGAATATCGCCTTGCTTCGTCAAAGTTCGAAGGAGCTTCTTTAACATTCTTCGAGCTTCTGTATCTGGGACTGTGCCTCGGGGGCCCTCGTCCAAACCTACAATCTGATTCAGTAATAGTCACGAAGAGCAGAGAACTGGACCAACCAGCTGTATCGACAAGCTTTACCTTCAACGTCTCGTTCCGAATCATCAAATCGTCGTACATATTAGTTTCAGCTGTACATCCCCCAGCATCGCAGGATGTCACTGCAATATTCCTCCCAGCGATTAAATTGACCAAAGAACTTTTACCAGATCCGGCTTCTCCGCAAATGACAACACATTGAGATGAGATGGAGGACTACTTTCAAGTTAACCTTAGCTTAGCTTAGGAAGAGTCAAACAATACTTACACTAGATGGTTGTGCGCGAGCAGGACTTGACATTGCAATAATGACTCAAGAAAGGACAGAAAGGTACGTCTTGACTTGCGCCTTCGCTGTTTTTGAGTAGTGTCAGCCTGGAGTCAGTACGCGCATGTTCCGTGCACGTGCCAGTGAGATCTGAGAATGGTGTTGGGCATTGGGGAGAAGGCGTAGCTGCATGAGCTCATAGATATCAAAACCACTATGCTCCGAGATTGTTGCCTAGTAAATACATTGGGTTTCGCACATGGCATATCATAATGCCAAGCTGGTCTAGCTGCAACCTGCAGTGGTGAGTCACCGTGAGTGCACTTCAGGGTACGGACGACTCCATTGTTTTTAACCTAATACTAGTGAAAATCAAGTGGTCGCCTGGTGTTATTAACAAGCATCATGTCATCAGCATGTTCATGTTACATATCGGTAACGGTGTAAGCACCCGGTACCCATCCCCGACTCCTTTGTTTGTCATTCGCTAGTATATGTACATCATTTTGGCAGTAGAACGTGTTCCTCAAAAAAAGCAGATAAACGTTGAATTGGAACACATTTACGACCACAAGTACGACCTTGGATACGACGCTCGCCTAATTGCACCAAATAATGTCGAAGCTGAGTGACACTCTTAAAGAGGCTTAAGAGCGCACCGAATTTCGTCATAAGACCACGAAAACCAAATTGGTTCTCGACCCACTAAGTCATTCAAAACATCAGATATCATTACAATTTGTTTATGTAACGCCATGAACGACAATTGATGTTTAACGTCCTCGAGGATAAACATAACGATGAGTGAAGACACCGTCAACTGAAGTGACAACGGACCCTTAAGAGTGAATCTAGATAGACTCAAAAAATGGAACTTCCGATGACGAATAAAGCTCACGGCGTATGCACCTCACCACGAGAACGATCATCAAAACAAAGCCCTCCTACATAGGAGTCGGGGATTACTTGGCACTGCCAGGGTGATCGGAATCACCTAGTATTACATAATGTGCCACTCAATCGTTCATTGACCTTCATTCACATGACCTTTCACTTATGACATCATTTCTAATAAGGACTAGCCCCTATACTAGGCTTGCAAAATATTGCCGGCTTCAAGATCATCGCATGCGAGGAGATATGCAATTGTTTCACCAATCGCTAAAAAAAAGAGAATTTTTTTGCCTCTCCTTTCTTCATGAAAGTCTTTGTCTGCAATACGATTTCGCACTGTCTGGATTGAAGAAGTTAGGCGTATTCCTTACATTGATTCACGTATGATAATGTCATTGTTAATGTATGACTTTGAATGTCTCAGTGTTCACATCGCAAGGTGCCTTCATGCATCCATATTTCTGAGCGAACCAAGGGGTATTTCGGTCCCCCGCTATCGGCTGTAGCGGAGCCTGGTCGTGATCAGCTGCCAAATATCCCAATGACCTTATTACAGCAGAAGGGGGCGAGAATGAAAGCCTTGAAAGTGTTTGAGGATCATTTTTGGATGTGTATCGGGTCTGGAACTGCGACGAGGACTTGAGTGTTGTGATCGATTACTATGGGCGACAGCGCGTACCTCCTGAGGAGGACGTCTTAAGAACGCAGCGTGATGAAAGTGTCTGGGATGCTCTGATATGATCCCAGTAACGTACGTCAAGATAACAATCATGCCCAGAAGCAAATGTTAGGCCTTGGGTCTCTAAGTTTAAACCACCACAGTTATCAGTTGCACCACAAAAAAAACGTTGAAGCCGACTGGACCTACGCAATACTCGAAGGCGGTCGATATCATATGTGTAGCATCGAACGAAATTGGGTGGGAACACAGACGCACTTCAGCAGGCGCGTTAGAGTCGGAGATGTATATGTTTTGAATGGCTGTCATGGTTATAACCTGCTCTCGCGGTAGAACTATACGATGGGGAGGCCTGGAAGTGTAGTCTACATGCCGGACATCACCTCTCCTTACTTGATATGGTTCCTGAGGCCTGAAGAGCGAAGAAGCTTGCCATTTGTCCGCTCAATGACCAACAGTTGGCAACGTCAAAATCGCCCGAGAATTGCTTGCCTGAGGTCAGGCCGATGTCATCATTGTCGAAAGACCATAGTGACTCTAACCCTGGAACTGTATTGGGGTGAGTGCATATTCCACTAAGCCTATCGTGTCTTCTCCGTCAAATCTCCAAGTCGCTCTTGAGTCTTATGTCGTTCAAGTTAGATGCAATGATAGTCTTGAGTCATCTTGTCGAACGCATTAATTAAGAGGATGAGAGCCAAGCCTGGCATGGACGCGTCCCAGTAACGCATGTAGCTCGACAGCCATGCCTAGCCTAAAATCGAGAATACGTCACCGGCCGAGTTTTAAAATTGCGATACACGCCGACGAGTAACCTTAACCCCACCTTAGTAACCCTAGGTCACCTGGTTTGGCTTTTCTTCACAACTTACACATCGGAGGTTTGGACATTTTACCTCTTGCAAAACTTCAATCAAAAGCAGTTCTAGACCTGGCTAGAGCATTCTAGACCTAGCCTGGAACGCTCTGGAGCGCTCTAGATTGCATTTCGAATGCGATTTCACTAGTGGCAAAATGTGGTAAAATGTCAAAACCCCCACTGTGTTACGAATTGGCAGCAAGATAGCAACATTCACGACACCCTCAGTGTCAAGAAAGACGTGTTCGTGATGGATTCAGGCGCTCGACCAGCCTGCTGTGTATTACCATTACTTATATCTATGCGCTCATACTCTTCCCAGTTCCACTGCCCGCATCCAAATATGACTAGAGCTTTCACTTACTCATGTCGAACTTAGCAATCGAGCACTGACGGCGCTGAGGACCATCGCGTTAGGGCCGACGAGCAGCCTGCCCCAGAACAGACCCTAGGACCCCCAGAGGATTCAGAGTAAGCGGCCGATTCCTGAGTTTGTCACCCGTATAACAGGAAGATAGAGAGAAGGAAAATGGTACACCTTTACCGGTGAAGCCACCATCAGTGATGTAAGTGGTTCTGCTCTGATGCTTCTGTTTAAATCCTCACCAGGGCGGCAGTTCGAATGCTGGGCCTTCCCAGCCATCAGAAGGTCACGAACAGGAAAGTGCTTCCAAAGTTGTACCGGACAGCGATTTGGCTTCGTAAGTCGATATCAATTGCGATTTTAAACAAAGCTCATAAGATGTCTCAGCCGGGTGAAGAAAGACGAGTTAAATCTCAATGGATTGTGAGCAAAAAAAAACAAGGCGAGCGATCGCAGCTGAGACACACCCTACACGCAGAGCACGTGTCATGAAGAAGTTCTCCAGAATTCGACGATTGCGTCGAAGGATGGCAAGGACAATCGGTATCGTTTCTAGGTAATATACCAACGAGTTACAGCAGAATACGACGACCAGTTCCTCGACCGATACCACAGCGACATGAGCGATATCTTGCTCACCGTACGTTTCGCGTTCATCTTTGATCCACTTTGAAACTGATGCTTGATCAGTCTGGTCTTTTGTCCGCTGCCAGCATGTCTTTCATTGTCGTCATGGAGTCCAATCTCAGTCCCGACACCAGCGACACCACGAATGGCCTTCTCGCGCAACTCGTGCAGATCAGACTCGGCAACCTCACTGCAGCGGGCTCCATCCACGCAGACCCAGCGTCTACGTGGTTGCCGACTGTGCTGGCTATGAGGATCCAAATGGGTCGCATACGCAAGCTTTTCCATGAGCTTCAGCATTCGGGGTCATACTAGGCAAGCAGCGGCTCGGGTACTACAAGTTCTACAGATATGGTCGCGGCTCGCTGGAGAACCGAGGAAAGAGATGTTTGACGGCCTCATCACATGGTATCTCGATGCTGTCATGCAATTCTTGCTTCAAATATCCCTTCTTCTCTTTGGGATCGCCCTCGGCGGCAACATGTGGTACCAGCAGCCCAGCATCGCTTTGGTGATCATTTCCACAACGATCTTTGGATTTCTATTCTATTTGCTGACAGTGATGGCATGTTTGACATCTCCTTCGTGTTTATTTCAGACAAAGCTACGACATGTAGACTATAACGCAGTAAGCTTAATCAGCACATACCCTCAAAGGTTGTCATGTCAGGAACCCCCGTCCTCTCCTTGCTGCCCTTGGAACCCTGGCACATAAGAATCCCGTAAATTACACGCGCGGGTGGACGCCCCTCCAAGGTCAATATAGGATTAGATGTTGTGGATGTAACTCAATTTTCATACGTGTGGTCTCAGTTACATAAACAGCTGCCCTGTATAGAGGAAGATCATATACCATAAACGATAAACGATCTTTTATTGGCTGACTACCACTCCTTCATTACATAATAACACGACCACATTGTCGATTGTGACTTATCAATCACTATCCTTTCACAGTACTAATAACCTTTATATTTCACCATATGCATGGACCATTTAATTGAGCACCGATTTTCATGAAGAACCAAGACTCGCGGGGAGTTATCGGCAACCCCCGACCACCATGAGGCAAGTTGCAGCTTGAACGTTCGAACCGACATGCATGAACTTCGACTTCGATTCAAGGTCACTGTCCTTAAGAACTCCAGGGAATGGACCCTTTGCACCACAATATCCAGAGTATGATGCGCTTATCTCGAGCTCAGACAAAGAAACACTCAGACTGCGCAAACGTAATTTGGTAAAGTGCTCTACACTGTTGTCATTGTTATGTAAGTACCACACGCTGCTCGGAGCTTCGGTCTGTAGATGGTTAGATTTGCTTGTACACGCTACTAGGACTCAAGTGTCGGAGTTGTACTGGTATGAAATGCCACGCCTCACCGTAACGAGAAGTTGAAGCCACGACATAATCTCGAGGCCTAGGAATGTCAGTTGCCCTTCAACTTGGCTCCCCATCTTCTAACTATATCATCATCACGAATCGTACGATCGCCACAGACGCCGCCTCTGCTATTTTGCCCCAAAGCTGCATGTAGTTGCAGGGGCTCTGACGCTCGTTCTCTAACTCGTTGAAGTGATCCCTGAATGTAATTTGTATTTGGTTATGACGCTCACCAAGCTCTTCTAACAGGTAACTAGGAATTAATTTCGTGAATCATTGTGTCATCAACACGAGTTTACCTCAAGTTCATTTGACAGATGCGGCTTAGCGGCAATCCGTAGGCAAACGTCAATCGTCGAGTCAGTATCCGATCGACTCGGAGGCGTCTAAAATATGGGTGCAAGGAGCGTGGTCAACATTCGTAGGGTTTAAAAGAAATGCGGTCAAACACTACGGCACCCTAGTAACATCCTGAACATCTCTTCCAAATCGCAATGTACTCGGATACAGGGTACGAGGAATCTAGACAAGATCCTTGTGCTATATTTTTCTAACAATAATAAGTAGAAACAACCATAAAAACATCGTTCTCTTTGGGCAGGGAGGAGCAGGCAAAAGCTCGCTTGTCAATCTCATTGCGGGAAAGAACGTAGCAAAGACATCCATTGACCTAAAGCGCTGCACGCTGAAGTGGGAAGAATATGCTGTCAAATTCGATGGCGGCTCTTACAACATATTCGATACTGTTGGACTCGAGGAACCGCAGCTGGGAATCCCAGAATACCTCAATGCTGTCGAGAATGCCTATAATCTCATCCAGAATTTGGAGAGACAAGGTGGCGTTGATCTACTCGTGTTCTGCATGCGCGCAGGCCGACTCACTGCTACGCTTCAAAGCAATTACCGGCTCTTTCACGAATTCCTCTGTGAAAAGAAGGTCCCCATCGTTATGGTGATCACATACCTCGAAAACGAAGTCGGAGAAATGGATAACTGGTGGAAGAGAAACAAAGATACTTTCCGTCACCAGGAGTTCTATGTCAATGGACATGCGTGCATCACCGCCATTCGAGGCAATTGTCCAGAACGGTATGAGCAATCGCGCACCACGATCCGCAAACTTGTTAAGGAGTTCACTGCTGACGGGCAGAAGCGACTATGGGAAGGAGGAGACAACCTGTTCGTGTCGTTGATGCGAAAGTTGAGGGGGCTAGTTTCAGGGAAATCGCGTTCGAAAAAGGATAATATTGTCCCTCGCCTCACCAAGAGGTGCGGTTTGACTCCGGACGTCGCAAAGCAGTTGGCCGATAGGATTAAGAAAGACGCGGTAGAAGGACCTAGTTGACTCGACTTCCCGTGCTCGATAGCTTGTGCTCATTAATGCCGGTTGTAGACTAATACGTCATCATTTCTTACAAGCATAATTATTCTACTCTTTGAAATTCTCCTTACAATTTAAATATTTATTATCTATGTCTAATTAGAAATGAAGACCCCACGTACGCGTGCGCACCAGTTTCGCGTGATTTAGAATGTCTTTCCCGCTGACCGTTAATTGAGCTCTGGGCGTAGTCTCTCGTAGTTACGCAGGCGTTGATAAAAGGAAAATCTCATCCTGCAAGCACTAATCCCTCGTCAACGCGTTGCAGTTCCAATATAAATTTAAAAGTCTACAACCAGAATGAGCACAAGCTACCGAACACGGGAAGTCGAGTCAACTAGGTCCTTCTACCGCGTCTTTCTTAATCCTATCGGCCAACTGCTTGGCGACGTTTGGAGTCAAACCGCACCTCTTGGTGAGGCGAGGGACAATATTATCCTTTTTCGAACGTGACTTCGCTGAAACTAGCCCCCTCAGCTTTCGCATCAACGACATGAACTGGTTTGTCTCCTCTCCTTCTTTCCGTGCTCGCTTCTGCCCGTCAGCAGTGAACTCCTTGACAAGTTTCCGGATCGTGGTGCGTGATTGCTCATACCGTTCTGGACAATTGCCTCGAATGGCGGTGATGCACGCATGACCATCGACATGGAACTCTTGGTGACGGAAAGTTTTCTCGTTTCTCTTCCACCAGTTATCCATTTCCCCGACTTCGTTTTCGAGGTATGTGATCACCATAACGAAGGGGACCTTCTTTTCACAAAGGAATTCGTTAAAGAGCCGGTAATTGTTTTGAAGCGTAGCAGTGAGCTGGCCCGCGCGCATGCACAACATGAGTAGATCAATGCCACCTTGTCTCTCCAAATTCTGGATGAGACTATAGGCATTCTCGACAGCATCGAGGTACTGTGGGATTCCCAGCTGTGGTTCCTCGAGTCCAACAGTATCGAATATATTGTAAGAGCCACCATCGAATTTGACGGGATATTCTTCCCACTTCAGCATGCAGCGCTTTAGGTCAATGGATGTATTTGCTACGTTCTTTCCCGCAATGAGATTGACGAGTGAGCTTTTTCCTGCTCCTCTCTGCCCAAAGACAACAACATTTGGGTGCTTGTTGCCACTGATAAATTTTAGGAAGATGCGATACAAAGAGTATAGGGAATACGTACCCTGTGTTATTCGATAGGTGACACTGCTCGATGAGTTTGCAGACAGTGTCGTATGAGTGGGTGCGACGCTCCACAAACACAGGTCCTGTCATTGTCGCTGTGGTGATACACGCGTGGCCAGCGAAGGTCATCCCGAGGTTTGAGATGATCCGCTCATTAATCCTCCACCAGTCTTCCATCTCTGGTTGATAGGACTCCAAACATGTGACGACAAGGACAATTGGAACTTTCCCCTTGACTTGAGAGCGGATTAACTGATAGTTCTGGCGGAGTGTCCGAATCTCTCTCTCACCCCGCACACAGTACATGACGAGATGAAGATTGCCTTGCTCCGTCAGAGTTCGAAGGAGCCTCTTCAAAATTCTTCGAGCCTCCTTATCTGGAACTATGCCTCGGGGGCCCTCGTTCAGACCTACAATCTAATTCAGCAATAGCCACGAGGAGCGGCGAATTGGACCGACCGACTGTATCAGAAAGCTTCACCTTCAACGTCTCGTTCAGAATCAACACCTCGTGCACACTGGTTGTAGTCGTACATCCCCCAGCATCGCAAGATGTCACCGCCATGTTCGTCCGAGCGATCAAATTGACCAAGGAACTTTTACCAGATCCGGATTCTCCGCAAATGACAACACTGCATGTGTCTGGGCGGTGAGGATGTTCTCCGACTTCAGTATTGTTGGGATCAACAACATCGCGAGGTTGAGATGAGCTCATGAAGGGCTTCTGATTTCAAGTTTACCTCAGCTAAGGGAGAGTTAAATAACACTCACACTAGATGGTTGTGTGTGATTAGGACTCAACTAATGACTCAAGAGTCAAGACAAGACAGAGAAAGGTACGTCTTGACTTGCGTTTTCGCTGCTTTTGAGTAGTGTCAGCCTACGTTCTGGTTAAAAACAGGAATCAGTAATGGTATGATCATGAAGACGCTCGTATTCAGCATGTTCGTACACGTGCCAGCCTGTGAGATCAGAGAACGGCGTTGAGCATGGGGGAGGCAACTTATGGATATAAGTTCATATGCCAATGTAACGAAATCCTTTCAGGCCTAGATATTACGATATATTACGACACAAGTTCACACATGGCAGCCTATCATGATGCTAAGCTGCTGGTTGAGCTGCAGCGGTGAGGATTCGGCTGTGCACTTCAGGGTACGGGCGATAAACCAACGCATTGTTATTGACCTAATACTAGGAAAAATCAAGTGATAGCATCGTGTCATCAACATATTAGACGGCAACACTGCCCCGGAGGCTGTCCGGGGTGCCGATGATCGGTCACGTATTACATATACATATTATTCAATGAACTCGCTTCTCGCGGCCTGTATTTGAATTTACGGAGTCATGTTCGGAACAATACACTCAGCACACGGCGTCTAATAGAATACCTCTATGTGCGCCTTTTAGTCGCATGCGCAATCCTCATGCCACTCAGGCTCGATCGTGGTATGTTTCTCATTCTCATTCGATCGTTTCCGATGGGCCTACTCGAGTGCACCGTTTACTATGTCTGGCGCTAGGATTAATCGATTAATCTCCTGCCCCTTCATTCTTCATTTTCTACTTTATCACTACCCGCTTTCCAAATTCCAGTGCACATCGCTGCGATGCTGCTGCTTGACCTTCCACACCACGGTGTCACCACCGTAATAACTCGGCGATCAGTAGCAACTTTCATCGACATCGATCTACTTGGTCACAACTCTTGTGTTCGTTTTCGCTATTATGCACACTCAGTGTGCGCTGCCTCGCACCACTTCCTCTTTTTTTTTGGCTATTATGGACCGTGTGTCCCGCATTCTATGATGAGTGGCATGCCCATTCACGCCACCGCGAACCGCAAGCTTATTTTTCATCGTCATGAGCTGTGCGCTCAGCTCTGCTGCAGTGATCCACATGTTCGTATCCCCCACTGTTGTGGGCCGCGTGCTCATCTACCTCACGCTTGATCTTTCTTTGCCGGCGTGGGTCCTCGCCCTTCATCTGTCCCACTGTCGCCAGCGTTAGGTTGCTCGTGGCACCCCACACATGCTAGCTGGAGGTGGCTTAGCGTCAGCGGTGACGAGTCCAGGTCACCTCCGAATCTGTATTGTGATGAGGTCAAAGCTGGAAATTAAAGTCTTCATGGGTACCCCCTCCTGACACTGCAAGACTCGATCTCTGCTCGCTTCAAGTGCCAATATTGTCCACCGGCATTGAGCGAGCGAAACACGCCTTTTGATCGTGTAGGCCTATCACCACAGCCTGTGACGAAGGCTTCCAGTCCAGGGTCCAGCAATAACAAAGTAAAACCACGGAAATGAACATTCGCACCACAAAGGTTCGAACGCCAAAGTTCCCCCCTCCCCCCAATCGTCCTGAACGCGAGGACGCAGTTGCGGAAGATGCGACAATACTAAATGATACAGGGCAGTTTGATTATGTATGGTATCCAGACAGCAATGATAGCGAGAATAGCAAGGAAATGAAATAGCAAGAGATCAGAAAGACGTGAGAAGAGACTGTACCCACGCATTTTGTTCTATGCGTGGTCTGAACTCTTCGACACATCGCCGCAGTTCAGATAGCTGAGCCTCGTGTGACACATCTTCCATCATGACGTCCTCATCATCAGCTGAAGACTCGGAGGCCCACTTTTTCAGTAACTCCTCGATGATTTGGATGCCCTCTTCGGTAACTTCGTCCGAATGCTCGGGTTCTGATTGTTGTCCTGCTCAGCAAACATCAGCGTGACAGATTCATGACATTTTTTTGTAATAATTACCGGTTGCAAAATCTTCTAGTTCATCAGCTTTCCGTTTTGCGAGCTAAAACACGGTCAGCGGACATTATGAGAACAGTTCTATACAGAACTAACTTTGACCACATTTTCAGGGAAGTTGGCCAGTTGTGCAACGTGGATACCAAAGCTTTGGTCCGAAACGCCTTCATCCAAAGGTTTCAGAGAAAAAGGTTTGGTCGGAACATCGAAACACACCTGGTTCGACCTTGTACAAGAGCGTGATATCCTTCTCACGCGGCGCAGATGCATCTTCTTGGTTCACATGAGCCACGACGTGAAGGTTTTTGACGTGAGGAAGCTCCTGGTCGAGGGCAGTCAACTCATGAAAGTGAGTAGCAAACAAGCAGAAAGCGCGGATGTGGGATGCAATATGCCTTTGGGTGCCGTCAGATACAACTTCAGGAAATAAATATTGTTCTCATACTCAGATATAGACCATGCCAGGCCGAATCCGTCATACGTTGAAGTTCCTGAAGATAAGGCAAATATTGACAAACTGTGCCCCATCGTACAACAGAAGACATACCGCGGCCGAGCTCATCAATAATAATGAGAGAATCTTGAGTAGCAGACTGCACAGTGCGCGACAGTCAGACTGAGGAAATATTTGTGTAGATGCCACCTACTCGGAGGATCGAAGCAGTCTCAAGCATTTCGGCCATGAAAGTCGAGACACCCTTCAACTGACTGTCACCTGCACCCACACGGCAAAGCACCGAATCGAAAATTGGTAATGTTGCCTCCGAGCAAGGAACAAAACATCCGGTCTGTGCCATGAGAGCAATGACTCCAACCTATGAGGTAGGTTGAGAATGACGTTCGCGAACGATGACATAGCTGATGCACCTGACGAATATACGTGCTCTTTCCGCCCATGTTTGGACCAGCTTTCGGTAGGTTAGCTCCGTTAAAACGGTACAGGAGCAGCACCTACTGATTATCTGAAATTCACCCTCGCCTACAAGGCGGCACATGAGACATGTAACGGTGAGAGTGCCATAAACCTTACCCTTCACCATTTCCACATCATTTGGAATAAAGCTTATATCGTCCTGAACTTCGAGGCAAGGATGTCGCGCGTCGCGTAATATTAAGCCGCTAGAACCTGATGTGCGTTGATCAATTCCTGCGTTGAACATCATCTCCAAAACTTGCCTTTCTCCGAGACTTTTGGTTTCACGTATGGCTCAGGAGCGTTTACAGAAACATGAGCGAAACTGGATGATCGTTACCACATGTGCAGGCTCCAGTCGCGGGGCTCACCTGATGATAACGTCTAGGTGTGCAATGATGTGGTCGAGATTCTCTAGTACGGACGTATATGTTGCTGTACGAAGGAAAAGGCATATGTGAATGCGAAAGTAGTGGTGAGAGGAGTATCTTACATGCAATGTTCACAACTTCCTTCACTAACCCGCTCTGCGTTCGCTGATATTCATGCGTAGCCTCTTGATGGTCCGTGGAAAGTGCTTTTAGCTTCTTGGTCGTAAAGTAGACCCCGCTCTTGACAGTTCCGAGTTCAATATATTTGTTCTTCCGCATGATGGCTTTCGCGTCCTGATGGGTATGTGAGCTTATGACATCTCGCAGTACGGGAAGCGTACATTCTTCGTCAACCTGAAGCAGTATCCATAATTCTGGGAGTTCTCGAGGTGTAACTTTTTGTCGAGATCGAGATCGAGATCCTTGCCGGTCGCACGATGTTCAGCATCAAGACTGTCCCGGATCTGAGAAAACGTCAGCCCTGTTCGCCATTATTCTGATAGGCATAATATGAACCTCCACAAGTTTATCTGCCAGAACCTGCAGACGCTCATCATAGTCAGGCTTGATCGCGTAATTATGATGTTCGAGTTCTTCGAGATCTAGCGTCGACTCCACCATTTCACCATATTTGACGAGATTCTCGTTGACAGTCTGGTAACAGAAAGTGTTAGAGGGAGCAGTGATAATGTAATTCGACGAATCTATGACATGCACACCTGGAAAGGCTTGATATAAACTTCATCGATTAGCTCCTTGTGTTCCTCGTGTTCGTATTGGACACCTTCGAGAGTCTCAAGCAAACCGGGCAACTAGTTGGGTAAAGTAAGTAACACTGAGGGCCGGGAATCGAAGCAAAGTACCTTGAGGACCACTTGATATACGCGCACAACATCCTCAAGAGATGCGATAGATTTCTTGAATCGTTTGCTTAGTCGGTGGAGGTCAGGCATTAGCTTCAAGTAGTCATCCTGTGGAATGAAAATAAGTGACGCCCCTTGACAAAGGGTATGGTACTACTAACCTGCAGTGTTCTTCTAGAAGATCCATCATCTACAAATGTCTCCACAAGGTCTTGTCGTTTACCTGCAAGGCTAAAGTTTTGTTACGTCAAGTGGAGTAAGAAAACGGGCGTACGTATTTCGTGCAGATTTACCAATGGTTGCTTAAGCCATGTCCCGAGAAGCCTAGTTCCTTGAGCAGTCTTGCATTTATTTAGCAGACCAAGGAGGGTTGCGTGTTTATTGATACTTCCCTACAGAGCGACCGTTAGCAGGGAAGATATCAGTGTGAACTGCATCTTGAATGACTTACAGTACTCCCAGGGGCGTCAATCAGATTCAGTGCACGCAATGCACTAGCATCCAAGCGCATATATCGTGCTAGATCGTGTGTCCGTAACTTGTATGCCCCGTGATTGGAGGGATCAGACAGGAGAGAAAGATAGCTGATCAAGGCAGAAAGTGCAGACGGGGCTGAAGGAAGGGAGAGCTCAGCTAGATAATATTGTGAGTGTTGTTTATGCAGTTTAGATATCAAAACCCACGAATCGAAGCAGCAGAGTCTGAATCCGTTTCTGAGTCGATCGTTAATTTTTTAACGTCGTCTTGCACATGTTTTGGAGTAAACTCGCCTAGGACCTGGAATCAGATAGACTTAAGAAACCACATAAATGTTGACTTACTTGGTTTACGTTCGGTCACAACCACGGCGCACCTCTCGAACACGGCTTTTAGCTTGCTCAAGTCGAGGTCGCGGTCTGTTGTTCCAGATACTGTTCCGGTGGGAATAATAGCTTCTTTAACTGAAAGCTGTATGACAAGAGACTACTCCAGTGTGAGGAGATAGTGATGACGGTCTGCAACTAAGTAAACCCACCTCAAGATTCGAGAAAAGATCGTTGTCAATGAAGTCAGCAACTCCGAACTCCCTCACACTGGTATCCGCGAAGGCAATGCCGATTGACTTGGTCTTGGCTTTGTTCATGACTGACGATGATGATACTTTGACAGCTAAAACGATAGGTGCCGATGTAACATCAGAGCTGACAAAGAGAAGGTCTTCAACAGCTTGGAGATTTCCAGGTGATGCCTTTCGAATGGTTGATTATGGCTATAAAGACACGACATTACTTGCTCACCTCTTTTTCCAAAATGAATTTGGAAGCTTTCCTTCCCTGCCCAGGTGCGGGCACCCATATTTCTACGCGCAGTTGTTTAGATGTGAGGGCATCTCGCAAAAACGAGTGAGCCAGGGTGTGGCTGAGCGTGACGCTCGGAAGACCACCAGCCTTGCCTCCAGCACCTAGATACTTGAGGACGGAGTTGGTACGAAAGACGTGTGTTGCGACATAGTGAGCATCCTGCCCGTGGACAGAGTAGTAGTCTGTGCGATCAAATAGACGGATCGTTCCAGTTTCAGGAGATTTCTTTGGGAGTTTGGAAAAGAATGCAACGAAACCGGGGTCAGAGGCTGGCCTCAGGTCAGAGTTAAAATTCTATCGTCGAGCAATCGAAGACTCACTCAGTTCATGCTCTGCATCTTTTTCCTTCCCATACATGAAAGCCATGATACTAAATTTTGACTTGATAATAGAAGGAAGAAGCGAAAGACGCGTCGCGCCACGCGTATTGAAAAATTGCTCCCGCTCTCTTTTGCAAATCTGCTGCCATTTCAAGACTTCAAAGCTTCAAGCTTCAAGCTTCATTCGTTATGTAATTCCTGAATTTCAGCGTTGTTCAAAGCTTCAACGTTCAACTTGAACAATCTCATACATTTACCACGGGTGTTTATGCAATGTTTCAATGTGAAATTCTCCTCTGTGCAGAAACGAGGAATTCACGTTTCGACTCGATACTAGCAGTACCCCATAACCCCTGGGAATATCAAATGTGTGCGCCGGCCGGTTGGGATATTCTCGCTTCCTATTACAGTCATATTCTTCTCCTTCATTTCAAAGACCCTCCGTGCTGTGTATAGTAGTAGTTCATTCTTTCACGTGGTTCAATGATTCCTATGTGCTGACTTTCGAATTACGCTAGGCCTTCAAAACCTTTTGGCATGTGGCCCAGAATTTCGCCGACATTCAATGCGTATTAGAGCTTTATGCTCAGGGCTTCATGGAGACTCCTACTACCCTGGACTGGGTCGACATTTCTAGCAAGATGCATTCATTCAAGAGATTGGCATCCATATGGCAGTCTGACTTCCATTTGAATTCCGTTTTGAAGAAACAGCAGCTGTTGGCATTGTGAGCCCGGCCTGACTACGTGACATCTCTAGAGTCGCAAATCATGGTTTTGGAGGTCCTGTCGCGCTCATGTGATACTGGTCGTCGATACTATGGCCATTTTTGCGACAAAGGCCACAGTCAGAGATACCTGTCGAGATTCCTTGGTCCGAGTGGGGACCCAAGTACGCACGCTGCTTTTCGCATCATCCAAGCCACCAAATCATCTTATTCGGCAGCAAAATGGCATATGCCCTGCCTCGTATCGTGCTCCTGAATCCGGACAAAGACTGGAAGAACTCCCTATAGAGCGTTCCTTCTACGTACACATCTGGGACTTTAATAGAGCTATTTCTCGCTTTGAAGACTCGGGTAATGTCTACGATTACAATTCACCAGGTCGTCTCATCTGCAGGCTCAGTCAGCAGGCTCAGATGTGCTTCACAAAGGACGATAGAGACATTATCACGAATCATCCCTACACCACTGTCTGCCCTACGGATTTCTCGACGCGTCATTTTGACTGTTTTTTGGAACTGGATCGACTTACTTTGATTTTGGTAAGCGTTCTTGGTACGAATACAGGGAAGTTTTAATGTGATTGAATTACAGGCTCACCCTGGCTCGGTTCAGATCTGAGTCGTTTCTCCCTCACCGATAATGCTAACCTCTGAAGTTGGCTTGGATGTTCTACGTGGGCTAAAAGCACACAGCCCAGAGCTGCAGCAGACAAAGGAAATGCGGTCTCGCCGCAAGACGAATATCTTATTATGTCTATTGAGTAAGTTGCAGAGACAGCTGAGACACCCCGAATCGGAATAGGCAGTCTCCCTGCTCTGGAACTTGTAGTCTCATTACCAAACGAGGGGGATTTTCAGTAGTCGTGGGTGACAAGGCTTGTAGAATCACCGAATCACAGGCATAATCGATGTATTCAATGCTCCATCAATTCCTTCAAGCCAATAGACGAAGATGGCCATCGCCGTCAACCAAATTGTCAAATATAGAGTATACCCCTTCAACCCACATTCGCTACATCTGTGTACATTCTTATCATACATACTAATTTCACGTACCTACCCTCGTTTTGCCTCTTTCCCCTGGTCTCTTACATAGACTCAGATCATTCGCTACCCTCTTTTATTTATTTCAGTCCCTTGCATGGCCCGGGTGTGTCACGTCATATGCTACGATACCACACTCGTTATTGAACTCGCCGAGTCTGTTCTGTCCGGGCATTGATTTCCCAGATTCAGAACCGTCTTTAGCGCAGCCTCTAACAACTGGTGGTTCTCAACCTTCTTTCTATGGTTAGGAAAGATTGATATAGACGTTGAATTTCAAGGACGCTGACATTTGCCTGTAAGTATAAGACCGCCAACAATGGCCCAACATGCGCTCTGATGATTCAGGCACGAACTGCCGCCGACGTGACATGCCTGTCAATACAGTTGAACGCGACTCCTACACCCTTGCGCCAGGCTTAGTGAAACAATGCATATTGATATAGTCATCTTCTGCAGTTGGTAGAGTCGCTTCTCCCTTGTATTGAAAGTGGAGCGCCTTGTATACTGCAACCTGTAGTGCTATGAGCAAGTTTTCAGCAACCCTTTCTATCACGCACGTTGAAATCGGTATCTGTGCAGAGTGCAAGGATGGACGTCGACATCACCTGCGAATGGGATGAAATCATGCATATATAACAAGCAGTCAAAACACCACACCTCCTGTTCCACCGTTTTGATCAGGTTTGTAGCGATTCCTTGGTGTTGATACTTTGGATCAACGCAAAGACAATTCAGGTACCAGGAGCTCTCAGCAGTCTGAAAATAATTTAAAGAAAAATTTGGATGAAAGGATTGGACGCACGTGAGGAGACAGCGCCGTTTTGATAAAAGGAGCCAGACCAGAACCATACTTTGATGGACATCAACGACAAGAACGGTAAAAATCAGTGCTACTTACAGTGGTAGTCCACTACTCTCTGGTCTTGGGTGACAGAGACTCCAATAATTGGTTAAAGCCAAGATTTTTCTGCGCATCACTTCTGATGGTAAGCAAAATTGCGTGACCAGCAAAAATTACAACTGACGTTTTCCAAAGAACTTTCCCTGGAGGAAACCAGAGAGCTAATCCAGCAATAGCTCCTGTATCAATAGCTATTGCGATGTATACTCTTCCGGCTAGTAGGCAGGCCCTGATCATCGCGCGGAACAATGGCCCCTCGAGACTCTTGTTTCCACCAGTCAGGACATGAAGCAATGGAGCTGGATTGGAAGACATTGCGACTATGCTGTTGATAGTTTGAAGGCTATCTTACAATCGACATAACCTCTGATACATATCATGACTGATTTATCCAACTGAGATTCTGTGGCATCCTTGAGCTACGCGACAAGCAACGGTGATGATAGATACCTGTTAACTGGTCAACAAGAGCCAGCTTGTACGGAAAGTTATCCATGGTATATGGCACAACGAAAGATAATTCCACGTACTAAAAGTTATTAATTATATATCTTGTTCCTTCCTAGTACAGGTGTTCTCACAATAGACTAGTAGGACTCGGGCACACGGGCATTAAGTCTATCAGATGGCACGTAAACGTACCAAATTTGACGTAAAATCTATCAAGTTTCATCATATCAGCAAAACACCATGCGATATCGCACGATGGTGAGATGGCAGCCAGATACCAAATCTGAAATCTGATTGGTCTACTGGAAACCATACGATGCCACCGCTATGAGTCTCATGTACGTATATGATTTGTTGTGGTCCACAGTCATATACGTTAGACCATTCTGAGCGTATAATCGAAAGCGATTAGGCAGATAACAGGCTGCAGAACTTCATCACACTTCTCGGCAATTTCACCGGGGAGAGCAGGCGCGAATCATCATACTCACCCGCGCCGTAATCTTTTTCTTGTATTCCTAGAGCACTGCGTCAGTTGCGTGTCCTCGGATCAAATGTAAGTACTTACCTCCTTGATGCCAGCTGCCAGTGACACTGTTGTTCCAATAGAGGGCAGATGCACTTGCTAGTTCGCGCCGGTAATCATACGACAATGGACGTGACATCAGGAATGATAGGTGGAAGGCGAGGGAATGGTGGGTGCTGACCGCAGACGATTTGCGAAGTACAAGAGAATATGCCCTTGCAAAGGCGAGTCGCGACAATCGGAGGTTGCAAGTTCAAAAACCCTTGATAGAGCAATCGTAAAAAAATACTATACCTGTGTGAGTAGTCAAGACTGTCGTCCCTCGACCGTTAGGCCAAAAGGCAGTGATAATCAAAGCACGCTTTGATTCTCGCGGACAGTATTTGTGCTGATTGTGGGAACTCAGGTAAGCTTACAAACTGTTGTGAGAGCGTGACTTTACGCACGCTTCTAAAACTAGATATGAAACTGATATGAAAGTTTGAAACCATCAGAAGTCAGTTCCTTCATCACAACGGTTTCGGGCTTACTGACGACTAGCGTGTTCAGAACGCCACCATCAACTTCACCAAGATCAACACTTTGAAACTCTGAATCGCTGCGAAGGTATCCGCGGGGGTTGTGATGCAGCAAATTGGCGCCAGAGTAGTAAGAGCAAGACATGATGGCCGAGGAGATCAATACATGATTTGAAAAAGGAACAGAAGATCTTCAGGTGAAGTGATATTTACGAGTCTATTGGTCTTGTTTTCATGTTTGCGACACTTTCAACAGAGAGGTTAACTGTTGTATTAGAAGAACATGGCCATGGGCTGACTGTATGCGGCACATGGCTGTAAGTAAATCAACTGCTCGCTGCTTTGGGTTCTTGGTTGCTGTGTTGTAGTCCGCAAGAGATCCAGTCGCGACCTAACTTCAAGTTGAAACACAAAGGAATGATTGTATCGAGCCGGGGTCGCGACTCAACGTAAACAGTGTATGATGCCATCAAATCTACTGGTACAGTCTTTCCAGCTTCGCCGTGGACCCAGGAATGCTTTCTGCCGTAATCCTATATAATTAAGTATTGTTGATTTATATATTAGTGCAGCTGAAACGCTGGTAGTCCCAGTAACCAACCCACAGTGTCTCCTTCCGTATCTCTCATGGCGTCCACCGAACTTGCTACGGAGCGTGCGATGTATGTTGGGAATACCATTTCCACAGCCGTTTATGGTGAACTTCTATCATATGAGTAGTAATAGTCGATTATTGACACCTCGTACTCCCCGGGCATAGGAGGAAATTTATTCCTATATACCTACTCTACCCACCTGCTTGTGACCTCCAAGATTAAGCAAGTGCAGCACAGGATATTCTACATATGTTTTGGAGGCATTCTCTTGCTTCTTTTCACCATCAGTATCGCAAGCAATAACGCCTTTTGTGAACTAATGTGGATAGAAAGGCGAAACGACCCTGGTGGCCCTCCTGCATTTTTTGCTGCAAATTCGGCCGCTTGGTACAATGTCTTTGGTACATCGGCAGTGTGCCTCACAAATATGATGACAGACGGACTCTTGGTGAGATTACAACATATATCGTTATTGAGCTCCAATACTCATATATATCATGATCTTGAAAGCTTTACCGCTGTTACATTATTTGGGAGTCAAGATTGCCAGTAATCGTCATCCCTGCAATTATATACCTGGGATCTGCTAGTACGTGCTACGTTGTCCATCCTGTACCAAAGTAACCATTGCTCTGTGCAGCTATGGCTATCATGATGGTGATTGAGAGTGCCATGCCAATGACAAATCTATGGCAGGGCCTTACCGCACAATTCGGCATTTCATGGGTCGCGTTAACTGTCAGCTTTAACATCATTGTGACTACATTAATCTTTTCCCGACTACTATTCTTTTATCGCAGAGCACGATCTGTTCTTGACGATGAACAGAGAAGTCTTTACACGGGCATTATGGCAATTCTGGTGGAGTCTTCCCTTCCTTTCACAATTCTGGGAATCGCCTGCCTCGTCACCTATATCCAAGGTATCCCAAGTGCGACGGCGGTGGAAATAGTCTGGGCAGCCTTCGTGGTACGTTCGCTTGCACTACTACGATGAGCTGTCATATACTAACAATTCGCTAGGTTTTGACACCCCAGCTCATCATTTTAAGGGTCGCTTCAGGGGTTGCATGGTCAAAAGACATGGCCTCTAACATCACTCGGACAGCTCTGCATGGAACTTTCCATCACAACTCATCTTCTACTAGCAGCAGCAATATGAACAGTAAGAATCCATAATAGTGGGGTTCTGGCATATGGTGCCACATCCACGTCCGAATGATTAGCATTCGAATCACAATGTTTGCGAGATATCTTCCGCCCGTTTCAACTTTGTCGTACGTTAGTATTATATTCTCACACTTACTACTAGTTTAGCTAATTTAAAAAACACTTGTCTAAACCGAATAACTAGTCCTGGAGTGCATCGTAATATGGTCAGTCTGAGAACGAAGGGCACATTTCACGCTGCACATCTGGCGATAGTCTGAGACTAGCTCGAAATAGCTGATGCGTTATCGCAGCTGGAAAGTATGGAAATAGAGAGGAACGATGCCAACTCGGGTGCTATATGTAGGATCTGAATAGCCAAACGTGCTATCCCAAGATACCTTCCAGGCCAAACATGAGTCTATTCGCATGTGTGCCTGTGACCCCGAAGCTGGCTCTGAGCTGGACGATTCGTTCGCCTGGTCTCCAGTAATTCTGAGAATCCAACCATGGAAACGTGTGATCAACGTGATTATCGCTCTCTACAAAAAAAAGGCTTTCAGAGCACAAACGGCACTCACCAACTCAGTTCCAAGGTACACAACGCGAGCCGTTTTGACGACGTAGCATGCGGGCGGCATTATCCCATGGCAGGGTCAATTGTTGGATGTGCGGGAACTGGTCTTCAGTGATAGAACACGTTACGCGAAAGCTCAGTTGCTTGAACCCTTCAGCCAAGACTGAGCCAGTGCTACCTGGCGCGAAAATTTCATCGAGTGGTATGTGGAACCGTGTCAGCTTGGTCCAGAATACATGACCTTGCTGCATCAGTCCCACAGAAGGGTGAGCTAGAGACTAGGAATGTCAATGTGATCTGATAAGCAAAAAATACCTCATCTCCTCGGCAGGAGTGACCCATGACTTTGAAGTACTCTTGGACAGACTGACCATGGTGAGATATTTTCCGAGACTGTTGAACCTGTCCTCAATTCCGCGTGGCTTGCGTATGCTGCGGCAAGCATCTATTTGAGCGTTTTCTGGACGATTGCATCGTGCATCATGCGAAGAACAATAACAAACATTGAACCTCTAAGAGCTTTGAGTCCCAGTCATCCTCGCGCTGTGCGACATCAAACATTAATTACCTGGAAGAAATCAGTCGGAATGAATATTGACAAACATCGACCTGCTAGTTATATTAACAACAACAAACAACATCCCTGGTTTGGTCTACAGAGCAGGCTCCGAACGCTGACGGCTTGTCTCTTGGCGATGTTCTCAGCACATTCCTAAAGACCCAAGCACAACTTGCCCATACGTATCACGCTGCCAGCAGCCCCAGGCCGGCCTCGAAGTCACTTCACTGCAACACCAGTGCCAATATTTGCAGTTTATGATTATACAAGAGTGTGACGCATGTATGCTCTGCAGGAGTGCTGGAACGGCATACCGTCAAGGACAGCGGGTAGGCAGTAGGGTGCCTTACAGTGATGGAGGCGTGGAAGCGAAACAGCCTTAAGCGACCTGGGCGTCTATTGAGGTTGAAACAGTGAAGCACCATCAAACGCATAACACACGCACCTCTACAGCTTAAACAAAGACACGATTCCTCCGAAGTACACCTCGACCGTGTTCAACACCATCAGCGTCCAGTAAAATGTCGAACATCATTACAATCACTACCCCCCTCCGAGAGTAAATTTACGAGGATTTGGTGGTACGTGAACGCTGAACACACCCGAAACGCTTTCATAATCAAATCCCTTGTTCAGCTCTTCGGCTGGGATCTCAAATCTTTGTGGCTCACTGCAGACCAGAAATGTTGTGATGCACTCCTTTGGGCAAGTAAACTTCAAGATGCCGTGAGATCATACCGATACATCATGGACAATATTGACAAAACAACGAAGGCCAGCTGCCTGGAATGCAAGTCTGGTGTTCTTAACGTCACACGAGCTACAATTCTCGCCTCCATTTCACTCAGTGTTCATGGAAGAATGCAGCGCGCTCTGTCTTGCCAGCGGAGACGCCCTCGCTGCAAGCAAGTATGGCATGGCTATTGACCTGTACTGGGCGGCGATCAACCTGGATTCTGAATCCTGTGTCGTCTTCGCAAATCGCAGCAGGGAACAGTTGGGGAAAAGGTTATGGGAAGAGGCGCTTCTCGACGCGCAAAAGGTACGATGGCATCTATGATTTTGTAGCCCATGTTGACTTCAGCAATGTATACATAGGCTACTGAACTCAATCCTTCATCTCACGTTGGATACCAGTTGATGCATACAGCGCTACGTGGGGCGCAACGTTACGACAAAGCCATCGAGGCCTTCAAAATCATGTTATCCAAGTTGGACGATTCTGACGAAGCTCAGATACGAGGTAAGCCATGGGAAACTCCTGCATGATTTCGAAATGCCTATCTCATTCTGTAGATCTGCGTCAGCAGTATGTTTGTCCATCTGAAGCAGAAGACGCCATTCAAAGAGCAGTCTGGATTGAACTCGAATATGCCCCGCTGCGTCTACTTAATACATCCACGGGTCTTTTGTGCGATCGAGCAGCCCAAATATACGCCTTCAAAACGAGTGCAGAGTATAAGGAGCTTTTGTCATTCACAACGAAGCATTCAGACCTTCAAATGGACCGCATCAAGCAAGTGGCAGCAGCATACTTCCGCTGCGTCTTGCTGTCACACAGGTGGGAAGAGACGGAGGCGCTGCTGCACGACATCCAGGATAAAGATGTGCGCTAGTTGAATGGACTTGGCGGGATCGCGAAACTGCAGTCGTTCTGCGTGGTCGCTCGCAATTCTGGATATCGCTGGGCGTGGATGGACACATGCTGCATTGACAAGAGGAGCAACACCGAGCTTCAAGAATCGGTCAACTCCATGTTCGTCTGGTACCGCCACTCAGCGCTTGCAATTGTCTACCTATGCGATGTGCCTCCTTCATCCCGTCCCGGTGCACTGGCGAGGAGTGTTTGGAACCAGCGAGGATGGACCTTTCAAGAGTTCGTCGCTCCAAAAGTTGTATTATTCTATCAAAATGATTGGTCATTATATCTCGATGATAGCTCTTCCAACCACAAAGAGTCCCCTGCAATCATGAAGGAGTTGGAGGATGCGACAGGAACAGATGCACGGGCTCTGATCTCCTTCTGTCCTGGGATGAGCGACGCTCGACAGAGACTTCAATGGGCGTCATCTCGCGTCACCACATTGCAAGAAGACATCGCGTACTCGTTATTTGGGATCTTCGATATCCACCTACCTGTGATCTACGGGGAGAAGAAGCAGAACGCGCTCAGGCGGCTCCTGCAGGAGATCGTGGCTCGGTCGGGAGACATCACCGTCCTCGACTGGGTCGGACAACCTTCCGAGTTCAATAGCTGTCTTCCGGCCTATATCACTTCTTGCGCCACTCCTCCACATGCCCTTCCATCTTTATCCGAAGATCAGATTCAGACAACCATCTCTTCCCTGCGAGAAACTCCCACGATTGTGGATTTTGCTTCGGAACTTTACGACCGGCTTGACAACACGAGCGCTGCTCGTTTCACGAACTGCAGACTACATCTACCTGGCCTCGCATTAAATGTTACAGAGGTCAGTCTGAGCTATGGTCCATCCCAGGAGATTCGATATGAAGTCAAGGCAGACGGGCTCGAAGACCTGCTGATCACCACCAAAAAGCCGATTGACCAGTTCTTGAGGACAAGGCCCACTCAGCAAACCTTCATGCTTGTCCGTCCCTGGGATCGGTCTATCCTCGAGTTACCAGACTTTGCAGATCTTCAAGACGATACAGAGAGCGAAGGGGATAATTGGACTCCGCCCTCGTCTCCGTCTGATGACTCACCTAACCGTTCTGTTGTAAAACAGGAGGTGGATGATCTAGAATCGCGAGCATTGCGGTTGGTTGTTCGCCTTGGGCAGCCTTTTGGCGCATTTTTACTAGCGCGGCAGCGTGGCGGAGAATACAAGAGGATCGCGTCAGATCGTGATATCATTGCGCAAGTCAAGGATGTGGCTTCTGTTCGAGACCTGATGGACGTCCAAACGATTGAAATACTGTAGATGCATTTTGATGTGGGATCTGAGCGGTTTTCATTGGTACTTTCGTATATATCATACTACATGCATGTGTATTGGACTATAGTTTCTTTTCAAAGGTACAATCTCTATGCAGCACCAAATTTGAAGTCATTACGCGAAGATCACCGGGTTAAGGCCGGTCAAGATAACTTGCGCGCCCTCAAAGATTCGCTACGAGCACTCTAAGTCCCATCGTCCCTTGCAGCATTTATCCCTCCCTGCCACCACAGTCGCGAGTACTGATTAGTTCCCACTCATGAGCACAGACTTGGTCAGCTGCCCATCTCAAAATAATATTAATGCTATGCACCGAAGATCTCGCACGAAAAAAATCAGCCGATCCAAGCGCAAGGTCTCGATTGCCCCGTCAACAACGCGTAAATCTTTTCACAAGTTACACACAGCTGTGTCTCAGCTGATCGGTGGGTCACGATGGATTCGGTCCTTCGGACATGATAACCGCACAAAACCGAAGAAAAAAAGGCTGGGTGTTGTCGATAGCGTTCAGCCCTCAAAGTTGTCGGACTCTCCGGCGTTGCGAGCGAGCTCTTGCCCAAGCAGGTCTACGGCCCCGCCATCCATCCCAATATACTATGACGATATTTCAATACTGGTACGAGAGTCTGCTGTACTCGCGATTGAAAAGTTTTTTATCCGAGCGCGACCCCAAGTTAGATGATTCCCAAACCCGACGAACAATGCTGCATGCTAGAGTTGATGCACTTGCTGAGTATCAAATTCTGACCAGCGGAGGCTTGAGGTAGAGCGCTTGGGGTCAGCCACTTGCTATCTGGACGTCTGCTCAGATAGCCATGGAATATCATTTCTAGAGTCTAGACTCTGGAGGCGCTGACAAAGGATCTTACTCTGCGTTTTGATTGTTACGTGTGATCATAGCCTTGATGCAACCTGTGCCACGCATGCGGTAGATACTGCCCTACGCCTCCAGAAGGATCCAGTAAAGTGCTTAGTGAGCGCTCCTGAGCCTCCGGGGCGCTGTCACAGGTGACAGTGTGTGGCTGGATGTTTAAACTCCGCCACCTCCCATTATATAATGACTCGTTATCTAGGCGTTTCCTTACAATTGCTCTCACAAACCACTCCTACAAACTCCTGTACACTCTATAGTCCATCTCCTTCGCGTGAGTTTTTGACCGTTCTAATCTCCTGTATATACGAGACTGACATTGAGCCACAGAATGCAGATTTTTGTGAAGACGCTCACTGGCAAGACCATCACTCTTGAGGTCGAATCCTCTGATACCATCGATAACGTCAAGGCCAAGATCCAAGACAAGGAGGGGTATGTATATGTCCCGGTCAACGCCACTTATAACTGATGGTTGTGTCTACAGTATTCCACCTGACCAGCAGCGTCTCATTTTTGCTGGCAAGCAGCTTGAGGATGGTCGAACTCTCTCCGACTACAACATTCAGAAGGAGTCTACCCTTCACTTGGTCCTGCGTCTCCGTGGAGGCATGCAGATCTTCGTCAAGACCCTCACGGGAAAGACGATCACGTTGGAGGTGGAGTCTTCTGACACCATCGACAATGTGAAGGCGAAGATCCAGGATAAGGAGGGCATCCCCCCTGACCAACAACGCCTCATTTTCGCCGGCAAGCAGCTTGAAGACGGACGTACTCTTTCCGACTACAACATCCAGAAGGAGTCCACCCTTCACCTCGTTCTCCGTCTACGTGGCGGTATGCAGATCTTCGTCAAGACCCTCACGGGCAAGACCATCACGCTGGAGGTGGAGTCCTCTGACACCATTGACAACGTCAAGGCGAAGATTCAAGACAAGGAGGGTATCCCTCCCGATCAGCAGCGCCTCATTTTCGCAGGCAAGCAGCTCGAAGACGGTCGCACTCTTTCCGACTACAACATTCAGAAGGAGTCTACCCTCCATCTCGTTCTCCGTCTTCGTGGTGGTATGCAGATCTTCGTCAAGACCCTCACGGGTAAGACGATCACATTAGAGGTGGAGTCATCAGACACCATCGACAATGTCAAGGCGAAGATTCAGGACAAGGAGGGTATCCCACCGGACCAGCAGCGTCTGATCTTTGCTGGCAAGCAGTTGGAAGACGGTCGCACCTTGTCGGATTACAACATTCAGAAGGAGAGCACCCTTCACCTTGTGCTCCGTCTTCGTGGTGGTCTTTAGTATCGGGTAGTTTCGCATACCTATCGTTTATTTCACATCACCGTAGCATCCTGCTGTAGTACCAACCCATCATTATTGCATCGTACTGTGAACTTTGATGAACTTCCTCTATGATATCTCAAGGGACATTTCGACTGAGCTAATCAGACTACATGAACCAGGTAGCGTGTGCATCGTAGTTGTATCACAACTTCAGAGGATGGTGAACAGCCAAATCGATTGAATCTCAGATCGCACTGAATGTCATCAAACTGTTTGCAATGAACACCTACTAAGTACTGTTGTCACCTCTGCCTTCTCTGTCCTTCCCTCTATCCTTTCCCCGCTCCCTACCCTCGTCCTTCTCCTTCTTCCCCTTTCCACTCTTGTCCTTGGCTGCTCTAAAGCACATAAATTCAATCCCAGTCGCACGCCGGCTCTCCGCCAACGTCCTCTTCACACTGTCCAGATTCCCCTGCAAATTCTCATCTCCCGGCCGTCGTGCATACGCCTGCGAGATCTTGTTATACAACTCAGAGAGCGTCTTCGCGGCTGATGGAGACACGTAGCGAGCAAGCGTTTGGTGCATGAACTCGATCTCTAGCGTAGCCTGTAGATATTATCTTAGCGATAATGTAATATGTAAGGAAGGAGAATGTAGCTTACGCGAAGCATACCGCCCATGCCGAACCGCTTGACTTGTTTGAATGAGAGCAATGCATCTTGAGCGACGTTCTCCACAAGCGCGTACATCCCACGTTCGAGTAGATTCTCCGCGACGCGACTAATTTGCGCGTGAATCTCGACAAGGCCCATCAAGGCCTTGTACATATATGGTCGTATTTCTTGCAGTGAATGTCAGAGTAGGTAGCAACAAGTGAAGTGGACAGGCTCACCCGTAGGTTGTGGCGTCTCGTACCAATCCATGTCTTTGTCGAGAATGCCCTCTTGCAAGATGACTGCGACGGCGGCAGCCTTGGGTTTGATATACCCATCAAAAAGAGTCTTGTCAAGCGCAGTCACTGCTTTCACTAATGTCTACGTCACAATGTGAGCATGGAAGGCCACGCAAGTAGGAGAATTAGAACAATACCTTTTTATCATCCTCGACTGATATGCTGAGCGCATTCTCCAGTTGAGATAACATACTGGGTATCAATGATCCTGATAAATGTGAGAAATTGGATATCACGAGGAGCAGCCTCGTGTTCTTAACACATGACTGTATCAGGGGCCAGAATTACGGAGCACACAAAACTACGCACCGAGTCGCGCAGATCAATCAGCTCCTGCTTCCCTTCTCCCTCGGGTATTCCCGCTGCCACGATGCTGCCCACACCTGGTGGTGCTTCCTCCGTGACGAGCACAAGAAACCCATCCAGAACCGCGTATATTGCGTCCAAAAATGCCTTCGTGATTTTCGATATGAATGCTGGTGGCACGATGTTCTGTTGCGTTGCCCGCAACATGCCTGATCCACTGTCTGTCGAGATACCACCCGCGATTTTGAATGCTGACGTTGCAAGGTGGCGCATGAACGATTCAAGATTAGCGAGGTAGAGCGTTGTGAAAGGAACGGAAACATCAGGAGTGAATGATTCGAGCGCATACATGTAGTTTGCGTCTGGGATAGTTGGTCAATAGATACACAAGGGATAGTAGAACGTTGTTAGTAACGCATACCTCGCAACCAAGATTTCACTAGGATATCTTCAAAACGCCAGCGCACGCTCTCCACTAGCCCTTTCACCAGACCGCCTTCTCCAAGTTCCAATGCGCCAATCTCTGTGACGCAATCCTGTACTTCACTAAGGATCTTGGTCAGCCAGTGAGCCGTCGTTAGCGAATTTGAATGAGACGGAAGATGCTCGGGAGAATTGGGGGTAGGAGAGTTTGATAGGATGTCAGAAAGAATAAAAAATTCCGAGAGGAAGTTGATATAGAGCTTGATGATATCTAGTGCCATTTGCCTGCATTGCGAGGCACTGCGCCTCGATGACGATGGCTGGAAGAAAGAGTAGACGTCAGAAAAGTGATATGACCGCACAAATGACACGAACTCGTTTGAACTTCCCCTCCGAGAAGCTCCTTGCGATTTTCCAGAAGTTGGGCAACGAAGAGACCATAACCTCGGAGACGTTTTTTACCATGTCCCAGATAACCTGCCACACTTCATGACCACCTGCTTGCGCTAAGTACGACAGGGATGAAAATGAATAATAACTTGATAGAGTGGATATGATAGCGCACCAATTACGGCTTCGGGAGCTTTGCTCTCCAGCGCTACGATACATACTTGGAGTTGCGCACCAAGGATCTGTCTGAGCGCATTCGGAGACGACAGTTCAGGTGTCGTGCGAGACTTTGTGGCTATAATGTATGTCAGTATGAAAAGTACTCAACAACACGAGAAGAACGTGCCATCGATGTTTGAAACACCAGTCCTGTAGGCAGTACTCATCCTGTCCATGATGCGCTTATGCTGACTATCAAAGTAAGTCCATATCGGGTCTTCAGGCACATTCAGTTCCAGGAGAATCCTGGACAGTCTGGTTGAGAGCGAAACATACAACAATAACGAGTAAACGTACTCAATCCCTCTTTCCATTTCCTCGACGCTCCTTCCTTGTTCTTGCAACCGTGCCAAAAGTAGCGCCTTCATCTCTCCCATCACCTTTTCAACGTTCGCCCATACCTTGTCTAATATTCTCTTCTGTTGTGCCGTAGAGCCTGCGTTGGCACCTGCCTCGACGGGGAGAAGCTGCCCAGGGCGAGAGTCGAGGAGAAATTTCCCCTTGTTATACTGACGCAATGCAGCTTCATACCTTCCAGCCTCGATGGATTCCACGAGAAATCCTGGGAGACTGAAGAAGAACTTGGAGCGCTCAAAAACCCCGAGTGTAGTGCGCAACTTTTGAGTTTTCGCGCCGTTCTCGAGGATAGGAAGGAAGACTTGATTGGCCTTCACAGCTGAGCCTGTGTCGGAGAGTATGAAAAATAGGACTGAAAGGAATGGACTGGAACCAACGTTTTAAGTAGTCTACAAGCGGTTTGCTAGCAAATTCTGCCTTGTCGCTCAGTAATCCTTCACGCATCTCCGCATATAACGCTACGAACATGCACTAGTTACTTTGCAGCACGCGCAGACAAATGATACATAACGCACCATCAGTAGAAGCCTTGACGGCAACGAACCGATCGAAGTTATCCTCGACAAGGACACGGACAGCTTCTGAACGGGCATCAATGGATGATTGGAGGTGGTTAATGCCTGCTGCAAGATCTTGGTATGTTGCGTTTGGGTGTACAGCAGATAGAAAGGCTTTAGGATCAAATGATTTAGACGATATCAGCACAGACATCTCTGGAAGCACATGAACGACCGAAATCCTAGCTGAAGTCAGACTCAATCACGCACTCGATTCCGCATCCAAACTCGTCAGACTGTGAACGTTGTTAGCATCGAGTGTGAGGCTTAAACGATGACACATACTCAATGACGCCGCCAAGACCCAAGGGGTCACCGTCTCCATCGTTGGATTGGGAAGTGAGGAGGTCAGAAAGAGGATCTTCGAGGTCATGATCTACATCTTCCCATTTACTATACAATGGTTATTCGTACATTCAGACAGTGGATTTGTCACGTACGTCGGGTTCTGGGATGATAACTTATAGGCCTGGAGGATGGAGGCTTCGTCGGTCGTGAAGTTAATCTTACCCATCAGGATTCAGAACGAGTCGGAATAAAGAAGAGGTCTTTATTTCGGCAGCTCCACCGGAATGGTACACAAGCAGTACTAATACCGAAGATCAGCTAGTAGTACTTGCTCTGTTACACTAGGCGGGCGGATGGTAAGTTACAGACCACTTATGATACACTGCTTGACGGTCCTTGTGTTGCACGTGACTCATAATAACACTGCAGCTTATGTGAGCGTAGATGGCCAAATTTCAGTCACAATCCAGGCACTTGAAGTACAGCAACTTTTTCCAAACCCTCCAAGACCACAGTACTGAGCCCCACTGGTTGAAGTAAGTCTACTCATGGCCTCCCTGTCACTCAAAGAGTCTTTATTGCGGAAACTGGTCACGTTCATGAAACACCTCAAACTCTTGAAGTTATCGGTGATCGTTCTGTGCCGCATTCACCGACATGTCATCATATTCCTCCGTCGACTACTGCACGGGATTTCGTACAACCATGATAGTCATTTACAAAGACAAAGACCCAACGTTGATAGAATTATGGGAGCTACTCAGCCTGCTGTTGGGACACAAGACCAGATCTCAGTGACAACACTTGCTGTACGCCCTCCCGAGAGGGAGGATGAACCCTTTCAAAATTGTGTTGGGAGTCCTTTGGCATTTCCATTACCTCATGTGCCAATGGATCACCTACCCTATTCTGCTCAGACATCTTCGGCAGTACCTAATGTCCGTCAACCAGGAGCGATTACTCTTCGCCCAATCGTTGCATCGCAAATCGGTAGGTATGAAAGGAATATCACTCAGTATGCCCTTTTCGTAATCGCGTTTCTTGAATGTATTTCTAACACTAACGGTAGAAGTAAAGATTTCCGTGTGTTCGAAGTTAGCCCAGGGCCGAACAATTTTACAGAGTGAGGAAAACTGCGGTTGAATAATGAAATTCATCACCACATTTCTGCAGATCATCAATGAGAGTTGCCGACTGGTTACAGCTCACTCACCCTGAGGGCGCTCGCTTCTTCTTTAACTCGCATCAGGTGCGCAAGAATCATTAAATGGCTCAGACCACTCATCATGTGACGCCACAGAGAGTCTTCACCGATCAGAATATTTTGGAGAATGACCTTGGACTTGATATTCTGGCTGCAGCCGAGCAAGCGAATCGAATGGCAGCAGAGAGTGGCAATGTTTGCGCCACAATGGAGCTTGCTATCGAAAAGATTTCCGAAGGCGTCTTTGGATACTATTTTGTAAATCATGAAGCACGGATTATCTTCTGGCCTGAGGTTGTCAGATCCAGAGAACTTATGATCCACGTACGAGGTGTCTCGGACAAGAATCACATCAGTGAGCGTGTAATTAACTTATCGAGATGATTTAGCGATTTGATCTATTCAAACCCTAGGATATGCATTAGAGGCGCAATACTGGTACGTTCATCAACGTATGGTGAGTAATTACCTACCCTCTATCGAAAAAATAGTGATCAAACTTATCCAAGCGGGTTTTGATTGTATTACTCTTAACTCATCTGCGCTTATATGCTGCAGGAAACATTGTACCCTGTTCCCAAACATGCGTGCTCTTCCTAGACAGGCAGTGAATTGTTTGCGAGATATCATTGCTTATGCTCATGCTGGTATGGTGCTCTATGCAACCTTTTGGCTACGTAATGAGTTCTCTGGCAGAATCAATCACATCTCAAACATCACTTTCTCCCTTCGACTTGGATGAGCTATCAAACATACTCAGCGTTGTTGATCAAGTGAAAGGTCAGCCTATCAGTAGTATTATCTTCGGGATCCGTCTTGATCAGAAGCAGATAACATCGAAAAAGTCAACGAACACTCTGTCTGTATCGTCGGTATGAGATTCAAATCTAGTCTTCGTCGAATATTCATATACTTGTCTCAAACCACAGCTCGATACTTGGATATGTTCTGTGGGTGGCTTATATCTACATTCTTCTCCCAAATAACGCCGCTCCGAAATAGTTCGGGCCAAATTTGTCAATTTCTGTGGGCAGCTTGGTGCTCGTCTTGATGCTGATCGATCGTTATATGATAGTAACAGCAAGAAGCCCGACCCCATCTTCATTCGTATTTTGAACGTTGTTCTGTTCAACTCTCCAGCGATTCACAGCGAATCCCTCCACAATATCTGGGTGGACAGTACCGTGGTCAAACCTAGGTGGAAGAAGTTCATCAGCCAATTAAATAGCGAGTGGAACAGTTTCACTGTGTTTGTAAGTATGTCGTTGGTCTTTGAATTTACAGACCTGCTCATGATGGCAGTCAACTGTGATGCTCGCTGTGGATGTCAGTTTCCTCACAGTTCCTGGAGTAGATAATCCCTCCATTCAGACAAAACCAGCTGTGACGATTGTCATTTACCTGTCCACACTTTGTGCAATGGGCTCGCTCGTGATTTCTCTTATCCTAGCGGGTCAGGTCAGCGACAATAGACGAAGCTCGGCTGACAGTGTGGTGCGTCGCTAGCTGTAGTCCCAATGCCCTATCTCATGGCTCACACCGACACAGGCAAAATTCATTTTCTCAATGTCCCAATCACTCCTTGGCATCGAGAGTCTCGCCTTGATGCTCAGCTTGCCATTTGCTCTCCTTATCTGGGGGTAAGTTGTTCCAAAGTTTGCGATATGCGCAATATTGACGAGGAATGTTGCAGGATGATTTTCTTTGCAATCGCACTCTCGATACTGATCTTCTATACTACCGATATCATTGCATTGACCGTTGTTATTCCCATATGGGCGGTTGTTCTTCTCCTCTCGACATGGCCGGTCTTAGCAGCTAATGATTTACACGTCTCGGTTGTTGTTAGGCGAGCCATCAAGCACTGGAAAGATATCATGGGACATATGGTCGTTATACGAAGGCAATGATTGAGTTTCTTTCATTCGATCTGCGGATGGGATCCTTGACTTTAACACGTAGTTCACTTTCACTTGTACTATTAATAGTAGTACTGTCCTTGTACTCACGCTGGTCTCTCACCATGTCAGAGTTACAGCTTACACATAATCGTTCTCGAACACTAGGTTAGCTTATGACTGTTTGCAGTGACAGTGCATGAGCCTATAAATCTAGTGCTTGACCATGATGCGGCTGCAGGATTGAGTATCCCGCCCGGATGTAGCCGACGTGAATTAGCGCCAGTGCGCTAGTATGTAATCCTGTACCTAATCATTTACTCAACGACATGCACAACCAGCACACCATCATACTGGACAATTTTTTATTCGTGGGTTGTGTTTGCCCATTCTATCTGGCGATACAGAGATTTCTCGGCTGCGTTAGGTGTGTTTGACAGGGTAAGTTTGGGTGTGGATGGAACACATTGATAATCTTGCTATTTTGCGAGTCAATCGTTTCTAGGCTACTATCCCTTTGTGTATGGAGGCAACCGTCGGAAGCTTGAGCGTGACACTCAGCCACATGCGCAGAGCTAGCAACCTCATCTGACAGGTGTGTACATGTGACATTTTGAAAAATAGCAACCGGCACCTACAAAGGCCTAGATCAGAGTGTATCTGTACACAAAGGGAGCATACTCTTTGTATTCATATGTTGCTAGATCCACATCGGCTATTGTGATAGATGCCTTGTCCCTAACAAAGAGTCCGAGTTTTGCGCGCGTAGTCGTGGCATATGGTATCGCAGGAACTAATTAGTGGCAAAACACCTCCGTAATCGATTTCAACATTATGGGAGGAGCGGGTCATCGCATTAATATTCAATATTCAATGCCAGTCTTAAGATAATCTTATCCTGGCACCAATCCAAGACGTGTGTCGCGCCGTTCGTTGGATCGTACTCCTACCCCTTCCTATCGTTCTTCTCACTTACTAGTTTGAAAAAAAGTCATCTAGTTTTTGTGTTCGGCTTCCATCATGTTCATCTTTTGGCTGAGGCACATTGTCAAGACAGCCGCATTTCGATCGTACAGTCTCCTCTCTGTACTCCTGCGACTGATCCGACACTGTCAATCTATCCTGAATGGGAAGGAGGAAGACTTTCGTGAACGGCCTGGCGGTTTAACATTGAGCTCTCGACCAGGGACAAACTTGAACCAACCCGACTCCGAGCCTGCGCCTCCTGTGAGCCTTGCAGTGCCGTTGCTCAAGGCACCTCTACAAAGTCTACACACCCAAGGGTCCCAACCTCAAATGGACATTCAGGATCGTCAGATGCCAACTCCTGGGCTTCATGGAGGGTCGAACGATGCAGCTTTTAACATGGACTTTCCGCCGAACTCTTCTGCGCCATCGAGGCTAAGTTCTGCGTCCGAAGCCGGCATCCTCGAAGTGGGTATCGCCACGCCGCCACCTCTGGTGGCGCCAGGCCAGACCTTTGATATCACTCTCACTCCCATTACACCCTATCAGGTCAAACGATATCGGAGGGATGTGCGAGTGTACGCAGATTTTATTTCAAGTTAGTTGACGAAGTTCTGATTCCTACTTGCAGTAAAAATGAGTATGAGCTATTTTTGATCGAAAAAGGACCTTTGGATTGTTCAGAGTAAGCACGCCGGTGAGAGGATCAGCGACGAGATTGAAATGGACTTGCAGGGAGCTTGCTCCGGTAGCGGAATGGGACCCACTCACCCAACCAGAAGGGGCTTTGATCTTCTATCAGCCATATAAAGTGTGTCTACTGCCCACTACCAGTACACGGATTTACTCAATTAAACACCAGAGAGTTTTCACTGATGTTGATGTTCGAGATCCTGAAACCATGGTCAAAATTAACAAAGCTGTCGAGAAGGCGTACCAAGAAGCGCGCAATGCAAGCATCCCCTTGGATCCGTTGGTCGAGCTAGGGTTAGAGCTTATGGTGGAGAATGACGAAGAAACATGGGGCTACTACTTTGTTGACCACAAAAGACGTGTCATTTTCTGGTTCGAAGACAACAGATCTCATTCCCTCATGAATTTTGTTCGAGGCGTAGAGCGAAAAAGTCATATCAGTAAGTTCTTTCCGTTGGATTCTTTCCATTCAAACTTCTGTAATCGTGTCTCCCCCAGAGTATGCACTAGAATCACAGTACTGGTTCGTATGACCTCAAGTACGCATATTCTCTCACTTAACCGAAGCCAACAAACTTACTTTGCAACAGCTCTTTTGCGTGCTTCGCGTAATTTAGATACCATGATGTTGGCAGGACACACATCGAGTTATTTCCAAACAGACGCTTCCTTCCGGATGACATTGTCGTGGAACTCAAAGAGCTCATTATGTTCGCTCAGGCAGGTAAGTAAAGACTAATCAGTATTTTATGCCCTGAAGAAATGACTCGTGATAGACAGTATCACTTCTCAAACATCCCTAGTACGTTTTACTTCGGACCAGATCCCAAGTATTCTCAGCCTCGTTGATCTTATTACAAGTGAGTCGATCGCTATTGTGGGGTCGTCGTTGATTGTCTTTTCAGAGAGTGTTAACAAGAAGAAGCGCGAGCATTCCGTGTGGATCACCGGTAAGTCCAATCATGCACAGTTGTTTGATTGTTTCTGATATGTTTACCGATCTCAGCTCGATTTATGAAAGATCTCTGTGAGCTTCAGCTAGTGGTCCGCTATCCATATTTGCTGATTACTTTGCTAGGCAAAACAAAGTTTGAAAATTTCTGCGGACAACCAAGCGCCCGACTTATTGTAGACCAATCATTATACGAAAAATCTAACACCTCGCAAAGCATGTTTTTTTGTGCCCTGAATGTTATTTTCTTTGGATCCCCTGATGCTCAGAGCAGGGCCTTCCACAAGATATTGGTCGATCGAAAAATCATTGATGTGCGGTGGAAGCAGTACATGGACAAGCTGAACAGCGACTGGAATGGATATACAATATTTGTGAGTTGTACCTATGCATCATGTTGTTCTCGTAGTTACTGACTATCTCAGTCTACTGTGATGCTTGCTGTTGATATCAGCTTTCTGACAGTCCCATCCGTCCAGACTCAAACGCTTGCGACCCTTCTATCTTACATGTCTACCCTCTGCACCATGGGCTCGTTAGTGGTTACACTATTATTGGTTGCACGAGTTAATAAAAGACTACGAGGCTCTAATACAGCCGTGGTATGTTGATCTTTCTATTGTTTATCCTATATTATTTACGCCCTCAGGCTTCTTTCCTAATAGAACTGGCGGATCCCACACTCGACATCGAAAACTTTCCGCTTATGCTTAGTCTACCGTTCGGATTTCTTGTTTGGGGGTGCGTTTCGGTTACATTACATGGGCGGACGGCTCATTGTTCGACAGAATAGCATTCTTTGCTGCAGCACTGTCTGTCGTGATTTTCAACAACACTTCTGTGACTGTCGTCATGATTGCGGTTCCGATGTGGGTATCCATAGTCACTCTAGCGGTATGGCCCATAGTGGCTGCAAATCGTATGCACATCACGTCCGTCTGCATGCGGCTTTACATGTGGTACTGGAACACAAGCCAGTTCATTATCTACCTGTGGCACCAGCTTTACACGTGGTGCTGGATCACAGGACAGCACACCTCTCGCCTGTGGAACAGGGTCATAGAACAAGTGTCACCTACGGCTACTACCCCCTCTCATGTCTAATTTGTATGGTCTGTGATTGCAGAGGAGTTTCTGTAGCACGTGCAACTTTATAGCGATTTATGCCATACCCTTTTCCTCTCGAATATCTATACACAGGATGTAATGTAAATATCAGCTCCGGGTTTATTGCTCCGTCTCTTCTGCCGGTCTCGTGGCAGTATTTAAGAAGCACGACTGAAAGCTAAAATCACGAGGCTCATCCCGGGTCGCCGGAGGTATCCGGCCGGGGACTGCCGCCTTGTGTAGAATTGAGTGTGCTTGCAATGTTTCTGAATTATGGATCATGAATGACAGCGTTTACCTTGCCGCAGAGGGCCGGGTGATCTGTACTTGCAGATCACCCTCGAGTCTTGACATGGACATACCATGTCATCGGTATGACTGCTTGCAGTGACAGTGCCAGGTGAGGATGAGCCTATAACTTATCCAGGCTAGTATCCTGCCCGGATGTAGCCGACGATAATTGGCGCCAGTGCGCTGCATCTACTAGTACTAATTACTCGACGACATGAACAACCACCACATCATACTAGGTCGTCTGTGCACTTAGTGGCTACTATTATCCCTTCCAGACTATCTATCCTCAACACTTCATCCTCTCTCGCCCGCCAGCAGACAAAGGTATAGCTTTTGCATTCAGTCCAGGTTTACCTCCGTCGTCATGCGGGAAGGATACATTCGCATGTTCATCTCCTGGTTGAGGGTCATTATCAAAACAACTGCATTTCGATCGTACAGGAGTCTCCTCTCTATTCTTCTGCGACTGATCCGACACTGTCAATCTGTCGTGAATGGAAAGGAAGGGGAATTTCGTGAGCGGCCCGGTTTGGCATCGAGCTCTCAGCCAGTGGCCAACCAACCCGAGCTGACGCCTTCTGTGAGCCTTGCAGTGCCCTTACTTGAGGCACCTCTGCAAACCAAAGAATTCCAATCTGGAATGGACGTTCATATGCCAATTCCAGAGCCCTACGAAGGGACAAATATTAATGTCACAGCTCATGATACACAATCTCCTGGGAGCTCTGCTGTGCCGTTTCCACCAATGTCTATGCCCGAGCCCAGTATCCCCGTGACTGTCGCCATGTCACCGCCTCCTACGACGCCAGGACAGAACGTTGATATCTTTCTAACTCCCATTGTACCTGAACCACAGGTCAGACGATATGAAAGGCATATTCCCATGTACGCAAATTATACTATGTCGAGTGAGTTGCTGTTTTAATCCATACTCACAGAAATAGTGAGTACAAGCCATTTGAGGTTAAGAAAGGTCCTTTGGACTGTTCAGAGTAAGCATGCCGGTGAGAGAGCCCGGGATGAGATTAAAATGTCCCCGCAGGGAGTTTGCTGCAGTAGAAGGATGGGAGCCGCTCACGCACCCCGAAGGGGCATTATTCTTCTATCAGCCATATAAAGTGTGTCCACCGCCTGCTCCCAGTACATGACTTTACTCAAGACACACACCAGAGAGTTTTCACTGATGCCAATGTTCGAGATTCTGAAACTGCTGTCAAAATAAACAAAGCTATTGAGACGGCGTACGAAGGCGCGCAAAAGGCAGGCATCTCCTTGGATTCTTCCGTCGAGCTCGCATTGGAGCTCTTTGTGGAGGGGGACAAAGAGTTTTTGGGCTACTACTTTGTCGACCACGAAAGACGTGTCATTTTCTGGTTCGAAGACTACAAATGCTTTGAACTTGTGAATAATGTTCGAGGTGTAGAGCGCAAAAGCCACATCAGTAAGTTCTTTCCACGGGAGGCTTTCGTTTGGAGCTCCTGTAATTGTGTCGTTCCCAGAGTATGCATTAGATTCACAGTATTGGTTCGTGTGGCCTTCAGATGTACGCATGTTCCATCGCTCGACAAAAGTACATGGACTCACCCTTTGTTACAGCGATACTTTCTACTTCCCAGGATTTACAATACCGTGACGTTGGCAGGAGACATGTTGAGCTATTTCCAAACAAACGCGTCCTTCCTGAAGATATTATCATAACGCTCAAAGAAATTGTCATGCATGCTCATGCAGGTGAGTAAAGATCAATAAGTGTTTCACATCGTATACAAATTGAAGTTGTAATAGAAAACATCACTTCTGAAACGTGCCTAGCACCTTTTGCCCCAAGTGAGGTTGCAAGTATGCTTGGCCTTGTGGATCATCTCAAGGGTGAATCATTCCCTGATGCAGGAGAGTTGTTGTTGATCGTCTTTTTAGGCAGTACTAACAAGGAGCGTGAACACTCCGTGTGGATTGCTGGTAAGTCTGATCATGGAATTGTCAGTTGATTACTCCTGATACGTTTACTGATTTCAGCTCGATTTATGAGGCTTTTCTGTGAGTTTCGCCCAGTAGTCCGTGATCTCCGTTTCCTAATTACTTTACTAGGCAACGCGAAGTTTGTGAATTTCTGTGGACAACCAGGTGCCCGACTTGACGTAGATCAATCATTATATGGAGAACATGACACCCGTTCGAAAAAACTCATTCTTCGTATCATGAATGTTATTCTGTTTGGATCCCCAGTTGCTCAAAGCAAGGCAATTCACAGGATATGGGTCGATGAAACCATCGTTCAACCACGATGGAAGGGTTTTATTGATAGGCTCACCACCGAATGGAATGGATATACAATATTTGTAAGTTGTGCTTTCGTTTCAAATTGTCATGCAATAAATGACCGTCTCAGTCTACTGTGATGCTCGCTGTCAACATTAGTTTTCTCGCGGTCCCAACTATCGCGCCTCAAACAGCCGCGATCGTTTTAACATATCTGTCTTCCCTCTGCGCCATGGGCTCTTTAGTGGTCTCGCTGATCTTGGCTGGACAAGTTAATGACAGCCGGCGAGGCTCCGCTGCAGACGTGGTAAGTTTTTTGTTTGATCGCATTACCTACATCAATTATGTCCACAGGCCTCTTTTATGGTAGGAATGTCGGAGTCTATGCTGGGCCTCGAAAGCCTTGCCCTGATGCTCAGCCTGCCGTTTGCACTTCTGATTTGGGGGTCAGTTTCTAAGTTATATTCCACGTACTAGTGGCTCATCCTTTTACAGAATGACGTTCTTTGCTGGAGCATTGTCCACCCTAATCTTTCGCACTTCTGGTATTGTCGCCATTTCAATCGCATCTCCAGTTTGGGTCGCCGTATTCGTCCTGGCGACGTGGCCTGTACTTGCCGCCAATAACATTCACATTTCTCAGCTGAGGTTCTGGATCATAGAACATGTTTTACCTCAGGCTGCGGGACCCATCATAATCTCTCATCGCTAATCTGTGTTATCTTATTGCAGGGGACTTTCTGTGGCGCGACACGCATATGGTTAGTACATGGTGTTTCACAAGTTGATTTATATGATACACGTTTCCTCCTGAATAGCCCTACATGGAACTTACTAGCTCTAGATCTTTCCTAGTGCAAGGCTTGTCTAGATCTCTTTTCTGCAAAAATGTACGACGATAGCCTCCCCGCCTTCTTAGGTACTAGTATGTCCAGTTCTGTTATGATAACATTATCAATTTGTAGGCGTTGAGGCTTGGCGACGACCAATTAGGTGGTGTAATTTTGTATACTAGTCCTTACATGTATCATTTCCTTGCCGCAAGTACGTTACAGGATACTAGCACTCAACACACTGGCATGCACTCACTTTTAGTTCCGCTTGAGTTCCGCAATCACGATAGATAGTGACAAGCGCGTTCTCTATATATGGTATCGCAGGAATTAGTGGCAAAACACCTCCGTAATTGACCCCAACATTATGTGAGGATCCAGCGCTAGCGGGTTATCACAGTGTCAATGTAAAGACAATCTTGGCGCTCAGAGCGATTCCGGCGTTAATCCGAGACGTGTGTCGTGCCGTTCATTGGATCGTACACTCATCCTCCTACCCTTCCCATCGTTCTTCTTACTTACTAGTTTGAAACAAAGTCATCTAGTTTTAGTGCCCAGCTCTATTCGCTTCCATCATGTTCATCTTTTGGCTGAGGCACATTGTCAAGACAGCCGCATTTCGATCGTACAGTCTCCTCTCCGTACTCCTGCGACTGATCCGACACTGTCAATCCATCCTGAATGGGAAGGAAGAAGATTTCCGTGAATGGCCTGGCGGTTTAGCATTGAGCTCTCAGCCTGGGACCAACTTGAACCAACCCGACTCCGAGCCTGCGCCTCCTGTGAGCCTTGCAGTGCCGTTGCTCGAGGCACCTCTACAGAGTCTACACAACCAAGGATCCCAACCTCAAATGGACACTCAGCATCTTCAGATCATTCCTGGGCTTCATGGAGGGTCGAATGATGCAGCTTTGAACACAGACTTTCCTTCGAACTCTTCTGCTCCATTGGTGTCAGACTCTGTACTCGAACTCAGCATCCCCAAAAACAATATTCAAGTCACTATGCCATCGCCTCTTGCAGCGCAAGGCCAAACCTTTGACATCACTCTAATTCCCATTATACCCCGCCAGATCAATCGATACTGGAGAAATGTGCGAGCGTACGCAAATTATATTTTGAGCGAGTTTTGTTTCTAATCCATACTCACAGTAAAAATGAGTTCAAGGCGTTCTTGGTTCAAAAAGGTCCTCTGGACTGTTCAGAGTAAGCATGATGGTAAGAAAGTCAGGGACGAGATTGAAAATGAACTCGTAGAGAGCTTGATCCGATAGCGGGATGGGAGCCACTCACGCAACCAGAAGGGGCTTTGATCTTCTATCACCCATATAAAGTGCGTCTACCTCCCGTTCCTATGCGGCCTTACTTAAATCGCACACTAGAGAGTTTTCACTGATGCCAATGCTCGAGATCCTGAAACTGCTGTCAAATTAGCCACAGCTGTTGAAAAGGCGTACAAGGAAGCGTGCAATGCAGACATCTTTTTGCAGCCATCTGTCGAGCTCGCGTTGGAGTTCATGATGCAGGATGGCAAAGAAATAATGGGCTACTACTTTGTTGACCACAAAAGACGCGTTATTTTCTGGTTCGAAGACCACACATCATATCCCCTTATGGAAGGCGTTCGAGGTGTAGAGCGCAAGAGCCACATCAGTAAGTTCTCTCGTGGAATACTTCCATTTCGAGCTTCTGTGCTCACGTCGTTCCTAGAGTATGCACTAGAAACACAGTATTGGTTCGTATGACCTCTAGAAGTACGCACATCACCTCATTTGATCAACGTCAATGACCTCACTTTGCAACAGCCCTTCTTGCCTCATAATTTGGATACCATGATATTGACAGGACACACATTGAACTATTCCCAAACAAACGCTCCCTTCCGGAAGATGTCGCCATGGAACTCAAAGAACTTGTCATGTATACTCAGGCAGGTGAGTAAATATTAATAAGTGTTTCATGCCCTACAAGATTAACTTGCGATAGACGGTATCACTTCTGCAACACCCCTAACACTTTTTACCTCGGATAAGATTGCAAGTATGCTCAGCCTTGTAGATCTTCTTAAGGGTGAATCATTTACCGATGAGGGGGGTCGCTACTGATCGTCTTTTTAGACAGTACTAACAAGGAGTGTGAGCACTCTGTATGGATCGCTGGTAAGTCCAATCATGGACGGTCGGTTGATTGCTTTTGATAAGTTTAATGATGTCAGCTCGATTTATGAAAAATCTCTGTGATTCGGCTAGTAGTCTGCTATCTACATTTCCTGATTACTTTGCTAGGCAGCACAAAGTTCATGAATTTCTGTGGACAGCCAAGCGCCAGACTTGACGTAGACCAATCGTTATACGGAGAATCTGACGCCTCCAAAAACATGCTTTTTCGTGCGATGAACGTTATTTTATTTGGATCCCCTGATGCACAGAGCAGGGCCTTCCACAGGATATTGGTCGATCAAAAAATCGTTGATGTGCGGTGGAAGCAGTATATAGACAAGCTAAATAGCGACTGGAACGGATATACCATATTTGTGAGTTGTACTTTTACTTCATGTTGTTATCATAGTCAATGACCATCTCAGTCTACTGTGATGCTTGCTGTTGATATCAGCTTTCTCGCAGTCCCATCTATCGAGACTCAAACGCCTGCGACCCTCCTATCTTACATGTCTACTCTCTGCGTCATGGGCTCGTTAATAGTCACACTATTATTGGTTGGACATGTTAATAAGAGTCTACGAGGCTCCATCACGGACGGGGTGTGTTCATATCTCCTTGTTGATCCGATAATCTTTACGCCCTCAGGTTTCTTTCCTAACAGGAATGGCGGGTTCCGTGCTTGGCTTGGAAAGCTTTCCCTTCATGCTCAGTCTACCGTTCGGCCTTCTGATATGGGGGTAGGTTTCCTGTCACATTCTACATCAGCGGCTCATTGTTCGACAGAATAGTATTCTTTGCTGCAGCATTGTCTGTTGTAATTTTCCGCACTTCTGGTATTGCCATCATCTCGATCGCGTATCCGACATGGGTCGTCATAGTCATCCTAGCCATGTGGTGTGTACTGGCTGCAAATCGTATTCACGCTGGGTCCCTCCTGCGACGGTGGCTTCGCATCCGGTACAGGAACACGAGCCAATTCATTGTTTACCTGTGGAACAGGATCATAGAACAAATGCCACCTACGGCCAGTACCCCATCTCATGTCTAACTTGTATGGTCTATGATTGCGAAGGAGTTCCTGTAGCGCGTGCAGCTTTATAGCATTTTGGTCCATTTATGCCATAGTTACCCTTTTCCTCTCGAACATCTATATACAGGATGTAATGTAAATATCAGCTCCGGGTTTATTGTTCTGTCTCTTCTGCCGGTCTCGTGGCAGTATTTAAGAAGCACGACTGAAGCAGTGTAAAGCTAAAATCACGAGGCTCATCCCGGGTCACCGGAAGTGTATATCCGGCCGGGGACTACCACCTTATGTAGAAAGTGTCTCTGAACTATGGATGACAGCGTTTACCTTGTCGCAGACCGGGTGATCTGCACTTGCAGATCGCCGGAGTCTTGACATGGACGTACTATGATATCGATTCATTGTCATGGCTCACGTGGAACTCATGTATGATTTTCGGAGAGTATGTTAACATTGATTTTGCCAATCGAGACTGACGTAGGTGATTGCAGGTTGGCAGTACCATAGTAGAATGTCGTCGATCCAACCATCAAGAGATCAAGTGAATCACATACTGACGTATGCTCATGACATAGATGGTCACGGTGACGTTTACGGTGGTGGAGTTTGGGCGGGGTAGCATCACGGGCAGTGCGATCCGTAGAAGTAAAGTGAATTCATGCAACGGGCCTTGTCAGAAAGTTCGTGTGAGTCAAACGTTACTGAATTTCATGAAAGGTGACACTTTTTCATTGAGAGGAAAGCTGTCACAGTCATACATATCGATGCATCATGCAGGACACATGACGACGTTGGGAACGAGACTCGGTCATTGGCAATCACAGGATATGAATTGGCATTGCTGGCTGGGGATATATTCCCAGCGGGTCCGATGCTGTGCAATTGTGAGGACCCTGGGAACCGTAACTCAGTCTTCAGAATCATAAACTATCTGGCATGATCCGGATGAGACTGACCGAATCGAAAGGTGGACCCAGTGAAACATGATCACTCGTTAACGTTAGACAATCTATAATCAGGACAATTAATTGCGCTAGCCTCGCTGATAGAAACATTAAAATACATACTCGGATATAAATGTGCTGTGGCACGTCTGATTGGGCAGGTCGATACCAAGTAGCTCACTGGTTCAGAGCGAAATCGTACGATTTAATTATTTTACGTAGTCTCGTTATCGATCAAAAGCGTTGTAACTTTGAACGTTGAAGAAGCGTCATTCGTTCGCTTCGGTTGGCTACCGAAGATAGACGAGTCCGATGAAGGCCCAGGGACGGGAGATTAGCAAGGGGGATTACAAAGGATGACGTTGTTGTTACGGTGTCCAGCCGCGGACTGGAATAGATTCTGGCAGAGTCTGGCCAGGAATCAACAAGACATGGCTTGACCACTACCTAAAAAAGAGCACCACGACAGGCGTGGTGATCTGCTCTGAAGACGTACGAGACCATGAGAGCGAAAAAAAAGCAAACATGCACGGAAACATTGCGTTCATGCAGAGAAAACTGCCAGGGACATTGAGTCGTGTGCCCTGGCGAAGAACGAAAGATCTGCCCAAGCAAGCATATATATATAATTCTAAAGATGCTTCAAGTTGAGCGGATGTAATGCGGAAGGATACTCGACGGACGTTGGCTATGTTGGGAAGCCTCCTATGAAGGGCTGTTGTGTGTATTTGTCAGAGTGATAATAT